ATTAGGAAACTTCTTCTGTTTCCAAATCCACAATCTGTTAAGATTTAATAATATATTCACCCCAATTAGATATCTTAAAAAAAATGTATATTTGAACTACGCATTCCATTGACACTTTGATGGAAATTCAGACAACGCCCTTCGATTAGCAGCTCACAGTTGACAGGATTTGACAAACGAGAAAGGACTTCATGGGAAACGGCAGCAAGTTGCCGTAAATGTCTCGGATTATCCTGCCAACCTTGTGACGCATTATGCTGCGTACGATTTCGATTGGATTTTCCTATTTTCTGTTCGGCGCTTATAGAAGCTGAGTACCATGAATCCAAGCGCCACATGTGCCAAGTTTGGAGGCACTGCAGCAAAGCGGAATTTCCATATTGTATAGCACACAGTTTGGGGGCACTTGTTGTTGGCTGCGGGCTGTGTTTTGCTATTTGCGTTTGGGAGTACGTTGCGCACCTTGTTAAGCCCGCCTGATGGGCCACATCCACTGCAATTTGTTGCCATCAACTTTGTTGCCATGATATTCCCACCACCCGCACCAGCACCCGCACCGGCAGCCGCACCCTGCCACACTCCTGGCCCAGCGTATTTATCTAATAGTCCTCGCTACTGTCGCTGTCACAGTTGTCTTCGTCTGGCTCCTGCCTGCTGCCTACTGCCCCCTGCCCTTGTCACATCCTGCTTTCGTTGCCTGACTCCCCGCAGCCTGGTCGTCCTGCCTGGCTTATTATTTGCCACGACTGCTGCGCCGCAGAAGTTTCGCATCGTTGGTGTTATGATTTCGATGCGGGCAGCCGAATGGCAAAGTCAGCGACAGCAAATACCAAAGTCCCCCACTTACCGCACCCTGCCCCACCGCCACCCCGCTGACCCGCAGGCCACAGACCCGGCTAACCCGCCTGCTGACGCCGTTGACGCAGTCCACCCAACAAGCAAAAAGGTCTAAAATTTTAATTGGGAATATTTATTAAAATTAATCTTAAAAAATCTATTTAGCTAAGAATTAAAGCTTTTTTTTATTTTATAATTTACGTTTAAAATGACCTTTAAATAATTTTCTAAAAAGTTCACCCAATAAGTATGCTTTAAAATTTTCTAAACCGAAAATATCACTCATCCGCCATGTCTGCTGGGTTGTTTCCTATTTGCGCCTAAACGAATTGATTGTACGCTTGTGTGTGGGATCGTGTGTCGCCGCGTGTGTCTGTGTGTGAGTGTGCTAAAGCCAGACATGGTCACGCCGTCCGTCCCAGTGGCGGCACGTCGCTCTGGCTTGTCGCTTGGGCTGCCTGACATTTGCCGCAGCCAGCTCGCCGCCCCTTCCCACCAGCCAACCACCCACTATTCAGCATTCGACGCCCACTGGCAACATGCCTCCACTGCGTCGTTAAGCTCTCGCCAACTGAAAGTGTGTGCGTTAGTGTTAGTATGTGTGTGTGTGTGTTTGAGTGCTGGCCTGTATGTGTGGGGTCGGTGGGGCAACCATTACCACAACCACCATTAACGTGGCAGGCAGCCAGGCGTTGCTGTTGCTGCCACATCCATTGCCATTGTTGCTGTTGCCGCTGCCGTTGCCGTTGCCACTGCTGCTCCTTCTACAGCTAGTTGTTGTTGTTGTTGCTTTTATTGTCGGTTGACTCCAATCTGCTTTGGTTGCTGCGCCACACGACTACGACGAGGACGACGACGTCGACGTCCTCAGTGGCTCGTGCCACTGCCACTGCCAACAGAAACAGCAACAGCAGCAACAACAACAGTCAACATCAACGCAACCTCAGCAGCAGCGACGGCAGCAACATGAGCTTACCAAGCGATTCAGTCGGGAAATTTTGCACAAGCCAAACGCACGCGGCAGCGGAAAATCGAACCCAGCCAACCAACCCAGCCAGACACAACCGACAACCGACGAAGTGAAAAGTCGCAGTTGATTCTGCCCCTTGCCTTGCCGTTACGTTGCACACACAGTTGCCGTCAGTTATCCGTGAATCCTCGACCCGTACGGACGCTAGTCCGCTTTTAACGGCACTTTTACAAAAACCCTCGAAACCATAAAGACGTAATTTTTACGCGACACGGCCTCTAAAAAACGGATTTCGATTTTAAAACGAATTTTTGTTAGAGCAGCATATTTGAAAAATATTTTTCAACCGGAAACGAATTCTTGGAATTCCGTAAAAATGAGAAAATGACAGCAAAACGTGATAAGGATTATTCGAAAAATAAATCAGCACCAGGTATATTTCTAAAAATTCTGAAAATTCAACAAAGTTTCATATTTGGGAACTCATTCAATATTTTAAAACAAATGACATTTAGAATTCAAATTAATCTCCACGGAATTGATAAAAAAAATGTACTGGTTTTAAAAAAATAGTTCTTGAAACCATAAATTTATGTGAGAAAAATGATTATTAATTTGTGTTGTATTCCAAAATTGTTTTTAAAGAAACAAGTTTAAATACAAATAAATAAATATCTAAAGTGTTTACAACTAAATAGTTTATTTGTTGAACTTTAATAAATGGGACACCTGTGGACTTGTTTAAAAGCCAAAAAATAAGTGAAGAAGCCCTCGATTTATTACATTTATTACATATTAAATTTATAATAATTAAAATCAATTATGTAAGAAACTAAAAACGTTCCACCTTTTTTAAAAAGAGTGTCTGGAAAACTTTTTTCAGAAATGTGAACCAGACGAACTACTCTTAGAAACTGTATAACTATTAAACTAAAGAATTCATTTTTTAAAAAGCGATTTAAAATTCTCTTTAAACAACGTAGAATTCTTTGTAGATTCTATTTGTAGATAAATTTAATTTTAATTTTACCAAATTAACTAGCCCGTTTAAGTTTTAACTTTCAACAAAGGATAACTTGGGAGTTTAGTTTGAAAGTTAATCCTTTAATATAGAATACGATTTCGTGTTATAATTCCATTCGAACATGAGATCTATTAATGAAATTCCAATTAATTGTACTTTTTTGTGTCCAGGCATCGGATTCACCGCCGCCGGCTCGACCAATGGCAGCGGTATAAAATCCATCGGGCTGGTTAGCTCGACGCAGAATGTGACCTCGTCGCAGGACATCAGCAAACGGACAAATAAACCACTCATGGAGAAGCGACGGCGGGCGCGTATCAATCAAAGCCTGGCCATCCTGAAGGCCCTTATCCTCGAGTCCACCAAGAGCCAGAATGCCAAGAACGGCGAGGGCCAGGCCAAGCACACGAAGTTGGAGAAGGCCGACATCCTGGAGCTGACCGTGCGTCATTTCCAGCGGCATCGCAATCTCGATGATCCCTGTGAGTTCCTTATTTTTAAAGGAAATATTTTTTGTTAATCATAATTTTAGTCAAATGAATAAGAATCCGTTAAATATTAGAGGACTAGAAGTCCTAACGGACGACTTACTGACTTAAAAAAACTAATGAAATTTCGAAAATATTTTCCAGCGGTTAACAAATATCGAGCTGGTTACACGGACTGTGCCCGCGAAGTGGCCCGATACCTGGCCACACCCGAGCCGCCTCCGATGGGCACCATGCCAACCCTGGCGGAGCCCGGTTCCAAGGCTCGACTCCTGCGTCACCTCGACCAGTGCATTGCCGAAATCGATGTGGAAATCTGTCCCCATTCCACGGCAAACTTCTCGGAAAGCCCCAGCAGCAGCAGCTGCTTTGACCTGAATCACCCGAAAAAGCCCCAGCCGGAGGAGCACTCGCTGGACTACAGTAGCCAGGACTCGAATCCCTTGGACTACAGCAAGGGCTTAAAGTTGGCGGCCGCCGAACAGCAGAGGGCTCATCCAGCCACGCCCGCACCCCAGGACGAGAATAATAATCGCGGCCATCAACAAGTCCAAACAGCCATTCCCATTCAGGCGCAGACCCCATTACAGGGACAGCAGAGTCAGCCGTCTCCGCTGGACGGAGTCACACCCAGCGAGCTCAGCTACGAGGAGGACCGGAACAAGGTGTGCGCCAATGTCCTGGAGCAGTACAAGCAGCAGCTGAAGGCGCAGGTGCAGCAGCAGCCGGATGGGACAAATGGAGTCCTGGTTCTGCCTCCGCACTATGTCCAATTAGCGGCGGCTTTGGGATTAAGTGCCCAGCCCCTGGTGGATCCGATAGCCACCCGAACGGACTTTGAACGGCTCATCGAGCTGCAGCGCGTCCAGCCGCACTTAGCTGGCAAGCTAAGTCCCAGTTTTCCCGGAGGCCTGGAAGCGGCACATGTAGCGGCCGCCGCAGCAGCTGCCTATGCCAACAGCATGGCAGTAGCTGCCTCCGCGGGCGCCAACGTTTCCGCAGTCGTGGCCGGCACCCCATCCACCCACTCCGAACGACCCGCCTCGGTGGCAGCCTCCGTCAGCTCGGGAGTCTCTGTGTCCGAGCTGAAATCCATGCCTCCCACGCAGCAGTCTTCGCCACGATCGGAGAGCGGAATCGGCTCCAACGAGAACGAAGGGCCGGTGTCAAGTCCCAGGCCGCAGACAAGCAGTGCCGCTCGTCAAGCACTCCGGCAGCGCCAGGAGGAGGAGTACCATTATATGGCCCAGGCGGCGGCGGCTGCTGCAGCAGCAGCTGCCGGCCAGGATGAGAGCATGTGGCGGCCATGGTGAGCCGCCGAAGCGTCTGAGATCTTATGTACCAAGTATGTAGACTGCACCAGTTCGTGGAATACGCTCCAGCCGGCAACCGGAGGAGTGTGTTCCTACATCGATCGATGGAAACCTATTGTTATTATAGCTCGTCTGCGCAGCTCCTTTCCGAATTGCATTTCCTACCTGTGCCAATGCCCCAGAGACTCTCTCCAAGACGGGTTCCAGAGCCAAGGAGATTGAATGTCCTTCTGAATTATTTGTGAACTTCTTTTCGCCCTGAACTCTGCGTTAAATGTATTTAATTCTTTACTAAAAGCTAAGATATTTACAAAAGAAAATCCGTGTTGTTTTAATGGGTTGGATGTCCTTGGAAATAATTAATTTCATTTTACGTTTGGAAATAGTTAATCTTTTTAATTTTATTTAGGTATTTCCTATAAATACAATATAATTCCATGTAGACGACGAATAAATACTTGTATTATATAATGTTTATATAATTTTTTTAAAGATGAGCCTATCGCTCAACCATCCTTAACTGATACATCAGGTCCTCCAGCTTCCTACTTTGATTTCATTGCACTTAGTGATTTGCGCGGCGCCGACTGCCTTTGGCGGGCCAAAAACGTTTGCCCCGATCCCATCAGAATGGCCAGCTTTGAGTCAATAGCATCCCGCTGGGCATTCACACCCAATCTGTAAAACGCTGACGTCATCAGCTGCTCCTCCATCACGGTCATTTTTGGCTTGGGCTCCTCCTCCACAACTTCAGCATTCTTTTCCAAGACACTAGCATCGAGGGCTATAAGTTGAACAATTAGTTGAGTTTTTTGTAAAATGGATATGAATGAGTTACCACTAGCTATTCGCGGATCAATGCTCTTGATCACCTCCTTGGCCTTCTCAACGCATTTTCTGTACTTGGCATCATAGGCTAGGATCTCCTGTTCCCGTGCTGTTAAATTTGTTTCAAGCTGCGTCACCTTACACTGCAGCGTGGAACTTTGGGTCACCGCCTCTTCCAGTTGTAGTGCTACAAAGCAATCAAGGTAATCAGATAAGAAACTTTATAAAATTATTAATTCATTTATTAAAACTTACTCTTTTGTTCATTGAGTTCCATGAGCTGCTTTATTTGCTTTCCAAACTCGTTCCTGTTTAAAAAGGTATATTTTTTAGTGGTTTTATAATCTTCAGATTAAGAAATGTATATTTACTCTTTGAAGATAGGATCATCACTTTGGGAGGCATGCGACAACGAGAGGATTCGTTCGTTGGCTGTCTTTAGCTGTTCGCGTAAATGCTCGTTCCGTTTATTAGCATCGTCCAGAAGTTGCTGGAAATATATAATTTATAACTAAATTTTTTTTCTGAGGAAATAAAACCTATATTACTCACCGCCAACGCAGTCTGTCCGCCCTGCCCCTCACGCAGAGCTTTGTTTTCCGCTTCTAGTCGCTGAAGCTTATCAACCGTTGCTAACGGCTGTAGCTCTGTTGAAACTGTGTTACCAGCCAATGCAGAGCTAGAGGACAGCTGGCCGCACTTGAGCTCGTCGACGACCTCCCGAAGATTGTCCCGTTCTTTGAGTAAACTATCCTTAGCACGCTGCAGTGCCAGGTTCTTGCTCTCCAAGTTTTTGTTATCAAACTCCAGCTTTACATTTTTGCTGCTTTCATTATCGAGCTTAGCGTGCAGGTCCTGGATCTCCTTCTTGAATAACTCGACCTGACCTTTGGTGTTGGCATATCGCTTGGCATCCTCCTCGAACTGGGCGTTTTGCTGCACATAGTCAGCACTGCGCTCCTCCAAGATCTTAACCTGCTTCTTCAGGTCATTGTAGTCCTCCAGCTTCTTTTTATAGGTGTCCAGCTGGGCTTCACATATCTTCAGTTTGTCATTAGACTCCCGGAGCACATCGACTTCGTCCTTGAGAGTGGTCACCTCAGCAGAGCTTTTCTGTTGGCATTAATAAAGTATTTCAAAATTGTATATTTGCTTTGATAGAGTGAATAGTATTTATTCCTACCATTAATTCATCGATGCGCGTTTGCATGTGCAGCAAATCGGTTTCCTGCTGATGGGCTTTTAGCTTGAGATCCTCCCGGGCACCCTCCGATTGCAAAAGCTCCTCTTTGAGCAGATCCAGTTGACGGCGCAAATCGTTGTAGCGCACAGATCCAGTTTGAACTGGACCCAGGGACACACCATCGTCGCCAATTGCAGTGGAGGTGTGCTCCATGCGAGAGACCTCCTGCTGCAACTTCTGCAGCTCCTGCTGAAGATTGGTCTTTTCATCGATAAGCAAGAGCATCTTCTTCTCAGTTTCAAAACATTTCTGCGCCATGGCATCGCGCTCCTCTTGCAGTGCCTTTCCATCCAGTATTCCACTGAGAGAACTGCGTGACAGTGAGCCAACCACTCCTCCTGCCTCTGGAGAAGAGGACGCGTTGCGTGTGGACTCCAACTCCTGCAATGCACGCATTATATTGGCCTGCAGCTCCTCCTCGAGGCTCATTATCTCGGTGATGTACGACTGTTTATTTGTACAGTTGACGGCGCAACCCAGAACCAACTGCAGCAACCGCTCCAGCTCTCCCAGATCACATTTTTCCGCGATGCGCTGTACATCCGGTTTGGCAAAATCCCCAAGGGAGTAGTTAAGCACCTCGCTGTAATAGTCGTACACAGACTGGGCCACCTTCTTCAAATTGCTCATCCGGAGCCGCCAGTTGCTACCCACGGCTCCTGGCTTTATCTTGGATAGCCAACCATCCGTAAAGGATTCCGGGGCAAACTGATTCAGCGCTTGAGCCAGTGCTACACCGTCAGCCAGAGATTCAGCATCTGAGTGCGGTGCGTTCAAATTGAGGGTCTTAAACCACTCCAGAAGACTGTAGTACATCTCGTTCTTGGGCGCGGACATCTTACGTGTCTGAACGAAACGCTAAACAAAACAAAACAAATAAAAAATATGCACAATTTTACAAAAAAAAGAAAGCACAGCTGTTGCACCGAAAACAAAACATCGAACTGCAGCCTAGATATCGATATGTGTTTATACGCATACTGTCTATCGATATCTCTTAAATTTAAAATTGTATTTTTCGATTTATTAAGCAAACCGAAGGGATGTTCACCATAATTTGAAAGTTCAAAATTACATTTTTCATTGCCATTTATTTAACCTAATTCGACTAATTTTGATTTTAATTATTATTTATGTTAAAGTCTATTGCCATAGCGGATCCATGTCCTCCGTCCAAGGCCTTTTGCATGCACTGCTCCACCCACTTGAGCTTCTCATCCTGCTCTTTTATCTTATCCACAGGAGTCCAACTCAAATCAAACTCCAGCCGGTAGCTACCTTTGAATGTCTGATCAACTGGGTTCCACTCCTAAAACATTTTCAGATTAAAAATTAATCATCTTGAAAAAATCCAAACTTACTTCCGGGGACAGCATGCTAAAATAGTTTTGACCCGATGATCTTTGATAAAGATGATAGATTTGGCCGGGTTTTTTGGTAAAATTGCAGGCAGCACTGTGTAGGTCTCGATTGGCATTAGATTCCTTCAGTATCTCCATGGCCTGGGCTTGAAGCATCTTTATCTGGAATTAGATAAGAATTGTTATAAATTATGTTTACTTGATACAAGTGAATCATATTTACCTGATCCATTATAACACCAAGCTTGTGGCAGGTCGTGCTTTTCAACTGCTTATCTGCATGTTGAATTTGTTGAGCCAGGGTTATAATGTCCTTTTCATCGTGCATGGAAACTCGCATAGGGTCAATCTGGGACTGAGGATTCCTCTCCACCAGCTGAGCTGTTTAGCATTATATATTAGTATGGTGACTAGTTACCAAGCAAGTTCGCAAAACGTACCTTTTTTGATTGCTGTCTCATATGTCAACTGGTCCATAGTGGCTGCTCTTTTCATAACACACCCAGGACACAGAAAAAAGATTTATTAATAGCTGGTAAACAATTTATTTACAATTTTTGACTGCCGAAAGGTACACAAACAACTTAACATGTGTTTGACTATCTGTAGCCAAGCGATAGGCAGCTTGCCGATCGATATATCGATGGCACAAGTGTTTTTTGCACTGCCATCACTAGGCCAGACCTATAGAAAGAAGAAGCACACTAAATTGTAGTTGTATATTTTAGAGCTAGCAAAATTGTGAATTTTGGCCCACAGCAAGCAAATTGTAATGTCCAATAGAGAAAAAACAAATAGTGCGGTTGCAGAGTGTTAAAAGCGTGCGGAAATCGAGGCGACAGTGAGTGAATTATGCCCACTTTGGCCATCGTAGCAGCGGTCTCATGCACTTTGGCGAAAGGAAACTTTGTATGCCCAATAAAAAGCGCACGCGCGCATAAAATGCACCATTAAAACCCGAAAGTAAAGTTTTTCATTGCAAACAGCTGGAGCAGCGATTGCTGGACGTGGGACAGTATTCAATAATTGCATTGGTAAGCCAGACCCTGCCCCCAAAACGTTTTTCACATTCGGACGCACACTGGGGCGAATCTGCATATATGTGTATAGGCGATGTGGGATATACCCCAGTGTGAGTGGACGGCAGTGGACGGACTTTCGTAAACAACACATGCGGGTCAATTATTTTGAATGAGCTCTATCTAAGTAAAAGAGCTAAAAACAAGCAAAGCACCCAGCAAAATATGTAGCTATTATCAGGGGGAGTGCGAAGAAATTTCGAATAATGACCAGATATTTGCATGCGTCTTATCGGAATGCGTCACACCATAACGCCTTGGAGCTGAGACCTCAGTGGGAAGACCACAACCATATCGACGAAAGAGTAGGGAGCTGAATTTTCACTCTCGTCATCAATCCGTTGTTGCCATATAGACACCCAGAGATTGTATATGCGTGCGGTTTTCTCCTTTAGTCATGCGCCAGTTAGTTGACCCAATTATCATCCAGGTCCCATCATCTTACTCCCCATTCGACTAATGTCAAATGTCACACATCTTCCTTGCAGCCTGGCAACCAGAATTGCTGGAATCGGAACCGCACAACACTGAAGTTATTAAACATCTCACAGTGAGTCAGCCCTCAGCCATGCGAGCCTCCATTCCGCCCGGCATTCGAGTCGTCCGTGGACCCAATTGGATTTGGTCGAATCAAGGTAAGAACTGAACGGGAGGAACGGAAGGCCACGGGCCGATTTGTTTACTCCCCTCAGAAGTGGGGAAACATTAACTTGGTATCGGTTCCCTATTATTGTATGGGTGTTTGTTTAAAATTGTGGAATCAAATCATCATCACTGTGAAGATTGCTTAGGAATAACTCCAGGAATCCCTAAATTAAAACTCCTATGTGCAAGTAACTAAAGCACTTTAATATGCAAATCAATAAAAGGATCTCCTAAAGAAATTTAATTGAAAAGGAACCAATAATTTGTGTGCCGATATCTACTGTATACCCAAAACTCACTTGGCATTGGCACCCGTGTAGTGTACCGGGTGTGGGGTAGGGGTGGTAAGAGGTGTGTGTCCGTGTCCGTGTCCGCTGCTGCTCGGGGCGTTGTTGTATGTAAAGAGGACGCGCCTCGCTATTTTTAGCAACACTCACTGCGGCAGCAGCGAAATTCTTGCGCTTACCAATTGCTTCTGCTTTCGTCGCTTCGTTTTTATGGTTCCTACATACATATTTGGTTCGGATGTGTGGGTATTGATAATACACATGCACACCAACACCCTATGTGGCAGGTAAATATGTCCGTAGGCAGCTGCTGGCTAAACAATAATATTGCGTAGTTTTTAATTGAATTAATTTCCTTCAGCTGGAAAAATTCATCGCAAACGTAATATGCCAGCCATTAGATGATGTAGCTGAAAATTATAACGAAATCGAGTGAGAGCTATGACATACTTCGTACTGGGAATTCATTTGGAAACCGGAAATAGCAATCTTTAAAAATATTATAACACAATTAGATTGTATAACAAGGCTTTCTTAAATTGGCCAACATTTATCATATGTATTGCAAGGGTATCATGTCCAATATATAGCCCTAAGCTCCACAAGTGCTGGGTGTAAACAGAAACACTTTTCCCCGTGACTAATACCATGAGCCTAGCGGCTCCAACAGCAGCTGCATGTGCCTGCAGCAAAGGCACAATCACACATGTCCAAAGTATGGGTCATGGTATGTGTTCCTCCCTCTTCCAGTTTCCCCCGCCCCTCAAAAGAAGCAGAAACAGAGCCTCCGGCCCATGTCTGGCATGTCATTTCGGGCGAGCAAGGGCGCGTGCCATTTTGTCTCCAACCTTTTTGGAGTGTTTATTTTTAGACCCTGGGATGGGGATCGTGAGCGATTCCAGCAGGCCTTCTACTCTCCCCACATTGGGGCGAAAGTGGAGAGTTTATTTCGGGAAAACAAGGCTCCTCCATCGCTGTTTCTGTGTGAAAATATATAGGCATAAACAAACATTTTAGACGCGGACCGCGTTCCTCCCTAGGCCAACATCAAATGTCACCCTCTCGAGAACGATTCCACGCCCGTGCTGGGTAATTATAGAGCAGCTGCACGTCGAGTGCATAACCGAATCCGCTTGGAGCCCGAGTCAATGATTGTGGGGGTATTTATAGCCGTGTGTCGGTTGTTTATGGGGGAAGTTTGTGCTCCCCAGATGTCTGTCCGACAGATCCACCGGATGTGCTCCAGAGGGAGCGCTTGGGTGCAGCCAGTTTCTCCACCACATCAGCTATTCACGTTGCATCCTACTAACGATGTTTCATTTCTTGCGCAACAGACGACGGAGAAGGTCACGTTGGAACGGTTTGCGAAATTGGTCGATGTGGATCAACGCACTCACCGGAAAATACCGTTGTGGTCAACTGGGATTCTGGCCACAGGACCAACTACCGAGTTGGCTATCAGAATCAGTACGACTTGATTATCGTGGATAATGCCCAAGTTGGTAAGTCAATTCTGGAATATTCTCAGAAACTTCTTCTACTATTATTTCCTATTACCGTAGGTGTCCGTCACTCTAATGTCGTTTGTGATGGCTGCTCGAAAGCAGGAATAGCTGGCATAGTGTTCAAGTGTGCCCAGTGCCCCAATTATCACCTGTGCGCCTACTGCTACGCCGAGGACATTCACGACCTGGAGCATCCCTTTATCCGCTACACCACGCCCAATTCATTGGGAGTCCGAGTACCGACGCGAAAAGGCTCTAAGCGTATTCAGCTGCGCGGTATCTTTGTTGGCTCCAAGGTGGTTCGTGGTCCCGACTGGGAGTGGAACGAACAAGACGGTGGCGAGGGCCGGACGGGGCGGGTTATGGAAATCCGTGGCTGGGACAACGAATCGTGTCGCAGTGTAGCCAACGTCTCGTGGGTAACAGGGTCAACGAACGTCTACCGTTTGGGACACAAGGGCAACGTGGACCTCAAGTATATATCAGCTACGTGCGGCGGCCACTACTACAAGGACCACATGCCCGTCTTGGGACAGCCGGACGAGCTCCAGCCCGTGACACCCATGGTGAAGCCTAGCTTTTCCGTGGGTGATCGGGTCAAAGTGTGTCTGGAGGTCGATGCACTAATGAAGCTGCAGCAGGGGCACGGCGGATGGAATCCGCGTATGGTAGAGCACTTGTCAAAATTGGGCACAGTACACCGGATCACAGACAAAGGGGACATTCGGTAAGCATCCATTAATCTTTCGTTGAGAAGAATTCTTTCAAACAGTAGAATTGCAGTGTTCAGTACGAGAATTGTCCCAATCGATGGACTTTCCATCCGGCCGCCTTGGTCAAGGTTGTTTCTTTTCGTGTTGGCGATTTGGTCACCATCATCAACGATGCCATCAAGGTGCAGCAACTGCAAAAAGGCCACGGCGAGTGGATCGACATTATGCGCTATGTAAGTAGCTACCATTACGAAGTGCGTTTCGAATCTAATTTGTAATCTTCTAAAGGCTTTGGGAAAACTGTGTAAAGTTGTGAAAGTGTACTCCGATGGCGATCTTCGCATACAACAGCTGGACGACGGCTTCGAGTGGACCCTGAACCCCAAGTGCGTCAAGTTGGAGCGTTCGCCCTTGGCCACAGCCGCCGAGCGTTCCAACAGCATGATGGACCTAAGTCATCGAAGAGCCGACCATGTAATGACACCGCTCTCTGGTCTTTCTGGCAGTTCGGTGGCCGACAAACTGGTACGCGAAGCGGCCCAAGGCCATCTGGACTTTGTGCGTCAGCATCTGGATGCAAATCCCAGCCAGGTGGATGTGATGAGCGGCGGCAAGGCGTGTATTCAGGTCGCCTCCCACCAAGGCCACGTGGAACTGGTCAGCTATCTCATCTCGAAGGGAGCCAACGTGAATGCTGTGGACAAGGAGGGCGACTCAGCACTCCATTACGCCGCTTTTGGCAACCAGCCGGCCACGATGCGTGTGCTCCTCCAGCACGGGGCCGAAGTGAACTTCCTCAACTCGAGCCACTGCTCCGCTCTGCACATCTGCGCGCACAAGAAAACGCCTCACTGTGTGCGTGAGCTGCTACAGCACAATGCCAACGTTAATATTCAGGACTCCTATGGCGACACTGCTCTCCACGATGCCATCGGCAAGGAGAACACCGAGGTGGTGGAGCTTCTCTGCAACGCTCCCAATCTGGACTTTACGGTGAAGAACAACCGTGGCTTCAACGTGCTTCATCACGCTGCGCTGAAGGGCAACGTAGTGGCCGCCCGTCGAATCCTGCAGCTCTCTCGCCAGCTGGTCAACGTACGCAAGGACGACGGCTTTGCCGCTCTGCACTTGGCCGCCCTCAACGGACACGCTCAGGTGGTCGAGACCCTGGTCACCGAGGGTCAGGCGGAGCTGGACATTCGTAACAACCGCCGGCAGACACCATTTTTGCTGGCCGTTTCTCAGGGCCACGCCGGTGTGATCGAGCGTCTGGTCCGGCTCTCTTGCGACGTCAACGCCAAGGACGAGGACGGAGATAATGCCATGCACTTGTGCGTCATTAAGAAGTCAAATCTTCAGGCGGCCGCCGAACCACAACAGGAGGAGGCGCCAGAGATATATAAGTTCTACCAGACCCTGGTGCCAACGAGCGTTCGAGCAGAAGATCGATTAATGTACAGCATCTTGATCTATCTGTCGCGATCCGGTTGTCGGGTGGAGCTGAACAACGCCAATGCTAGCATTTTTGAATCGATCACTGACCGCAACATCCGTCAGTTAATCTTCGGCCAGCAGGCGGATGCAGAAGCTCTTCCGCGCAACCTCCAGACCCTGGATATGTCGGAAGCTGCTGCCGTCGAAGAAGTGCCAACAGAATCCAATGGTGCGGCCCCGGTGCCGCCACAGCGCCAACAATTAGATTTGATGCCAAAGCCCAACGACACGACGGCAGCATCGGGAGCTGCACCATCAACGCCCTCAGCTTCGCCGGGCGTGAAAAAACTTAACTCGGACGCAGTCCAGCAGAACGTCTCGCCGCAAGTGGCACCGCGCAAAAAGGCACCCAAACCACCAACCAGCTCAACTGTGGTGGAGCCCAGTGTTGCAGGAGCTGCATCCAGTTCCAATCCAACTTCTGTCATTGTGACGGGACCACAAGAGTGCATCGTATGCAACGAGGTGCTGCAACTGGTGCGCTTCGAGCCGTGTCAACATCAGATCGCCTGTGAGGAATGCGGCATTCGGATGAAGAAGTGTCTGCGCTGCGGAGTGATCATCGAGCGGCGCTTGACCCCCAGTGGAAGGGTTGTGTCTTTGCCTACGTCCACGTCTTCGCCGAGTGATCCCACCCGAGTGGCATCGGGAGACCTGTTGCGGTACCTTGAGAACAAGGTGCAAGAATTCGAAGAGTCGCACTTCTGTGGCATCTGCATGGAACGGAAACGAGACGTGGCCTTCCTCTGCGGTCATGGTGCGTGCTCCCACTGCGCCGAGACCCTGCGCACATGCCACATGTGTCGGAAGACGATACTCAAGAAAATCAACCTGTACTGAGAAGGAAGATGGAAACTCCGAAACGGAACAGCTATCCAACCAGCAACCAAAGTGGCTTGTATATAAATACATTAAAAACGAAATCACAACACACCCACACATTTGCCGTGTCATGTACGACTCGAAACTAATTATTTATTGAACACCGACGAATTTTACGCGATGTTTTTTTTTTTTTGAACGGCTTATGAGCGGCATTATATACATACAAAAATAAAAAAAATTATTGTGCACCCTTCACGTATCTAGTTATTAGCCTCGTTCAACCATCTCTGGCAACGATAAAGAGAAAATAGGAAAACAACTAATATCGAAGAGATATTTAATAGTCTTATTAAATTGCAAAATATACAAATTTAAAATAATTAAAAACTCATTGTTTTCTTTGGTGGGTGGGAGAACGTAAAGAGATACATTAATAATTAGGATTTTTAAAATTTAAAATTGTAAGCAGAACTTTATTTCGATTAATATTAACTACAAAAAAAAGGTCTGTCTATTGCACCAGAAGACTAGACTGAGGATCAGGCTCATCGATAGAACAGGATACAATGTGCTTTCCAGGAACCATGACATTACCCAACAGACGAGGCTCCTGGCCCTCCACCAGATACTCGGCACACATGGAGAGGACGATGTTGGCGTCTCGATCGGTGCAGTTAAAGAATCCAATCAGGACGCGGCCATCGGTAATGACGATTCGCAGGACGCGACCCAGCCACTTCTGTAGCTTCTTCCTTCCGGGAGTCAGACTAGCATCGTTCATCTGGTGTGGTGCATTGGTGGTGATCCGAAAGGGTTCTGTTGGGACGAACTGCTGCGTCTGCACTTGCTGACCAGTGATGCTCAGATCTGTCATTTGTGTTCTTTGTGTTTTATTGAAGTTTTAAAATAAATGTTTCGTGTTTACAAAGTGTTGGGTCTGTTTTGTGGGGACAAACCAGGGCTGCAAACATGACGTTCTAGTTCCGGTTCACCAAGTCTATCAATTAAAGACTATAATAATTGATATTGTATTTAAATTATACAAGTAACACGTAAAATTAAAGCCTTTAAAATTAGCGTCCTTTGATGCTTAAGTCACAGTTTTTTTTAAATATTTTAGTGTCTTTAATTATTTCAATGTTTTGAAACTATCGATAGTTGGGCCATTCCTCGCTGTCATCGATAGCTACAGTGAATACGCAGCGGAAAAAAAACACACACGTCACAACACTTTAGTGGAGTCGCCGAAAAAGATACCTTAGTTAAGATGGCCAAACAAGTGGCCGATTTTCAAACCAGCAAGGTCCAGTTTTATCAGAAGCTGGCGCTTGCCGTTATCCTTGGAGCAGTGCTTCTCTCCCTGCCGGAATTATGTGCCGGTCAGGGTAATCCCAGTTTCAAATACTCGCGGGAAGCCAATGAAAACTTTGATGCGAAGAAGGCTCCGCCGGTTGTTCATGATCACCACGACCACGACCATGATCATGACCATCACCATCATGGACGTCATGACCACCACGGGCACCACGATCATCATGACCATGATCATCATGACCACGGCCACCATGATCATCACGATCACCATCACCATGAACATGGTCATTCGAAAGGCAAGCCGGCATTGGGTAAGAAACTTCTTCCTCACGGAAAATGGCATATATTAACAAGTAGGTCTTTCAGATATGAACACCATATGGCTGCACTCCATCGGATCCACGCTTCTTATAAGCGCTGCCCCCTTCGTTCTGCTTTACATCATTCCTCTTGATAACAGCGAGGCGATGAAGCCACGACTGAAGGTTCTATTAGCCTTCGCATCCGGGGGTCTGCTGGGCGATGCTTTCCTGCACTTGATACCGCACGCCACCCACCCGCACTCCCACGGAGATCACGATCATGAGGAGGGGCACCACCACCATCATCATCATCATGAGGGCGAAGACCATGGGCACGGACACGTCCATGACATGTCCGTTGGCCTGTGGGTGCTCGGTGGCATCATTGCCTTTTTATCGGTTGAGAAACTCGTGCGTATTCTGAAGGGAGGCGAGGGAGGACATGGTCACAGCCATGGAGCACCCAAACCTAAGCCCGTTGAGAACAAAAAGGCTGCGAACAAAGAAAATGGAGATGGAGACAAGAAAGTCAAGTCCAACAAGCCGAAAGACAAAAAGCAGGAAGCCGAGCCCGAAGGTGAGGTGGAGATTTCCGGCTACTTGAACCTGGCAGCTGACTTTGCCCACAACTTTACCGACGGCCTGGCCATCGGAGCCTCTTATTTGGCGGGCAACAGCATTGGCATTGTAACCACCATTACTATCTTACTGCACGAAGTTCCGCATGAAATCGGCGACTTTGCCATCCTGATCAAGTCTGGGTGCTCGCGACGAAAGGCGATGCTGCTTCAGCTGGTCACTGCGCTGGGAGCAGTAGCTGGAACAGCTCTAGCCCTTCTGGGTGCTGGAAGCGGTGAAGGAGACAGCTCCGCACCCTGGGTGCTGCCTTTCACTGCTGGCGGGTTTATCTACATTGCGACGGTCAGCGTGTTGCCGGAATTACTGGAGGAATCTACAAAACTGAAGCAGTCGCTGAAGGAGATCTTTGCACTGCTCACCGGCGTGGGATTGATGATTGTCATCGCCAAGTTCGAGTAGGGGTAACTGTGTGAATGCAAAGCAACTTAAATTATGGGGTTTCCAGCTAATCACTGGAATGTTTTAAGCAGATCTAGGATCAGGTTTCACCTACCCTCTATTCAGAAAGAAAACAATTATTCTAATATGTGCATTTAAATTTAAAACTATGCCATGTTTAATGAAGACTCAGTTTTTTTTCGATGAACCTGCTTAGAATTATTTTCCAAACCCATATTAATGTTTAAAACAATCGATTCAGCTTTAAACTGTTTGATTGCCCTTAAAAACTTGTGCTTTCTTTCCTTTGAAGTGAAATTTTAAAATAAGTCAAAATACACTATACAAAAAATATTTAATGCCTTTTCTCCATTCGTATTTTTTATAAAACAGTTTGGGCAAACATATTTTTAAGCCTCAATACAAATTTATAAGATTTACAAGTTTAAAGAAGTGCCTTACTGGCGCTTCTCTCCATTCAGCGTTGTCTTAATTTCATTAAGACAATACTCGGCCTGCTCGAGAGCATCAGGATTTCCATGTTGCTTCCCCATTTTCCAGGCCAGACGACAAGCGTTCTCCGCCTGCTTCATCAAGCCCTCTCGCAGATATATCAGCCCCAAGTTAGCCTGAAGAATGCCCTCCTGAGTAACGTCTTTTAGCTCCTTGGCCAGATCCATTGCGACCAGAAGAGTCTCGCGTGCCTCTGCGTATTTCTCCAGCTGGGGAATGCAGTAACTTTTCATATTTGATAGTTTATGTGAAGCGGCGAATATCTTACATTAACATAAGCCACACTGATGTTGTTCAGAATGGTTACTGATGCATCGTTCACGGTGCCATATACATCGACCAGCGTGTCGTAAGCTTCCTTGAAGAGTTTTCTCGCCTCCGCATAATTTCCCTGCTTCATCAGCAACTGGCCAAACCTGAAACATAAGCAAAAGCCCAATGCATCGATAGTATAGAATGTAGAGGATATCTGTTGAGCTTGGAAGCCATGGAAACACCTTCAATACCAGTTCTTTGTCAGGCCATACAACTCTTGTACGTCTTTATCTTCTGGAATCTTTTCCAGGAGCTTAGCCAACTGCTGCAGGGTCCAGGTGAAGCCCTGAAAGCTCTTTTCGAGGTCGCCTTGCAGTTGGGCCATGTGCGCTATCTTGGAGCTTATGTGCAAGATCTGTAAGAATAAAATACTGAGCCCGAGATGGACAGCAATCATACAAGGAACACTCACCTTGGGACTCTCTTCGTTGTGGCCGTCGGCGAAAAGACGTTTCATAACGTCGGTGAAAATCTTTTCGGCCTTCTTGAACTGTTCCCTCTCCATGGCCAGGTTAGCCATCACATCGTAAACATACGTTACACCCTCCTTGCTCTGCAAGTCTTGGGCCATTCGGAGCGCCAGGTGGAGCATCTGCTCGGCCTTATCGAACTGCTCCCTCTGAATGCACAAGATAGATCGCTTGATCGTGTTCACCAGCTTGTCTTCCGGGGTCTCCTCCTTCTCATCGCCGCTACCGAATAAATTAAACGTGAATGCTGCAGTGAACGCCCACAGCATGCCGTTGGACGTATGCGGATTTGGAGGATGCAGTCGCGCCACCTGACCCCTACTTGGAGCCTTCGCGGCGCACAAACTGGCCGTTCTCAAAGGCACAGAGCTATGCAACTCCTTGACAGGAACCATGCGGAGCCTACCCATTACATGGGTCAATTTGAAAATGTTTTTGACAATCATTTTATTCGATTTTTAATACATTTTGCGAAATCGAGATGTCTTGGGAAGTTTACGTTTGATTTTGTGCTGCTTATGAAATGCACCACAGTGTTGCAAAGTGCTCGGGGAATGTTACAAGGTAAATTTTGTAACGACCATTTTAGCCATCAGTTTTCTTTAAAAAAGATTTGCCAGTTTATAGTATTTAGTATTCAATTTAAAGTAGACTATGCATTTTTAACAGATTTAATTTGTAGATAAAAAATTTTTAAAAAGTATTAGCATAGAAACTGCTTGTAGTGCATCCACTTTTTACCATCAGACTAATAAATTTAAGAAAGAAATGAAAATTAAATTATAAAAATAGATAATAAGTTAAAAACTCTAAATCTATAACTAATTTACGGATAATTCTTTTCTTCCTAGATCTTTAACGGTTTATGAAACGCATCCGATAACAACCGATAAACATTTGTATTCGATAGCTGCAACGTGCAGTATCGAGTGTCGGAAGCAACCCTTCATTTTGTGGCGGATTGACGCTCTTTTGCTGGCAAAATAGAAAATTAAGAATTTTTCATAATCGTGCAAAGGTGTGTGTCCCAGGGACGAGGAGTAAAAACAGTGTGCAGTGAATGAAACAGAAGATCTAGCGTTTTGTTTTAGATTTTTGCAGCGAGCCTTTTCCGCAGCCATGAGACGGCGCAGCGAGCGAAAAAAGTCCTCCTCGCCCGCCCCGGTGCCGGCACGGAGAAGCCGCCGCTCCCTCAAGGTGTCCGAGAACGAAAAGACGGAGGACGAAGCCAACGTACAGGAGGAGCAGCAGACCCCCGCATCGCGCGAAGTAACCACAGAGGTACGGGCCTCCAGCGAGGAACCTACTGGTTCCCCAGTGCGCAAGAGTCGCGGTAGTCGCTCGACTCCCAAAAAGCGGGCTGATGGTAAGAATAGTGACCGAAAGGTTGAACCAATACCAGAGGAGCCCGAAAACGGCCAGCATGCTGAAAAGCCAAGCGCAGAAGAGGAAAAGGAGGTGCCGTCTGAAAAGAGTGAGACCTCTGATAACAGGAGCGAGGATCTTGTAAAGCTGCGGGAGTCTGGAGGCCAAGAAAAGGAAACGAACTCCGAGGACAATGATGACAACGATGACAAGCCAGAACGGAACCCTGACGATGAAGAGGACGGGCAAGACAAGAAGAGCAGTCAAGAGCAAGAGGTAACAGTTCCTTCTCCTTCAGTTAGCCTAACGGCCAGCAAGGATGAGGAACAACTAAAAACGTCAAGCGATGTATTAGACATTCAGACAGAAGACGTCGAGGAAAGGGAGGAAGAACCCCCCACCAGGAAGCCGAAGAAGAAGTCCAAGGACCAGATTCCCGAGATCGAGGAGCAGAAGGTCCCCGAGGAAGAGGAGCAAAAGGAAAACCGTGAGCATGCAGATGAGGAAAATGTGAAAACTAACGACGAAGCCACAGATTTTCCAAATGACAAACACGAGGCCTCAATAACCAATAACCAGAATAACAGCACCATAGCAACTGCCTCAACCGAAACTCCAGCTTTGCAGCAACAGCGTTCGGTGAGGAAGCGGAAATGGTTGACGAACAAAAAAACATCGGATCGTGCCCCGCCTGTACTGGCGATTTCAACGGACTCCCTTAAGAACATTATCGCTGATGTAGTACAGCCGGTGCCGCTGAGTGATGTGCAGTTAGAGTCCTCGTCCGAGGAGGAGGGTCTAGTCACCAGTGACCGCGAATCGGAGCGCTCGCTTTCGCCGCCTTTGGCCAAGGAGCGCGTTGTCGAGGTCTCTGCCGTCAATACCAGTTCCGAGTCCACTGGGGACAAGGAAGGTGCAAGTGGAGCCGCTGGCAGAACCACTCCGCCACCCGGTGCCGATTCGGCGCCAGCACAGAGTGGATCCAGCAAGGCCACTGTGGCCACGCCAGCTCCACAGGTAGTCCGCTCCCCCAGTCCAGCTCGGAACCGCGCCAGCCACGTGCTTTACATAACCAACCTGGTTCGGCCCTTCACCGTTATGCAGTTAAAGGGCCTGCTGGCGCGGACGGGCAAGATCGTCGAGGAAGACGGCTTCTGGATAGACCGCATCAAGTCCAAATGTTATGTCGCCTACTCATCAGAAGAGTAAGTAAAAGATACAATTCCAAGAAAATTATTTCCAAAAATCGGTATATGGATTAAAGATGATTTAAGTTGAGATTTTACCTGAGTATCTGAAACAAATGAGCGTGAAATGGTATATTTCTCAGGTAAACATAGGTTTTGTTTTTATTTTTTCTTACTTTATTACTTTACTATCTATGCATGTTTTTATTTTTTCTTAAATAGACACTTTTACTTGGATTATTAATAAAATTAAATTATTATTTTGCAGCGAGGCCATTGAAACCCGTCATGCCTTGCACGGAGTGCGTTGGCCAGTCTCGAACCCCAAATGCTTGAACGTCGACTTTGGTAGCCGATTGGACATGGATCGAGCGATAGAATCGACTAAGGATGAGGCTCCAAAGTACGGCCAGGAGAACACCAGGGACAACCAGCAACCAGGCAATGCTTGGTCCCGATTAGACACATCGGATAAAAAGGTAAGAAATGGAAAATACAATAATTCTGAATATGAAGCTAATTTGGTCTCTTAAGCAGCCCATACGACCAGTTCGTGAGTGGGATGTAGGAAAGAAGGAGCCGGGCGAACACGACAAAGCCGGCAGTGACAAGCGTCGAGGGAGCAAGGACCGACTGGAATCACGATCTCGAGACACGGAGCGAGCCGGTCAGGAACGCAAGCGGTCTAGGGAACGAGAGGGTCGAGGACGCGACCGTGAACGTGATCGGGATCGTGAACGGGAAAGGGAGAAGGAACGTGACCGCGGCGATCGCAACTTACAAGGACGTAGTCGCAGCGGATCGCCAGGTGAATTACATAGACGGTGGTGCCAATCTTTACAAAAATTTAATATATATATTTTTTTTATTTCGAGCAGCAACCAAAGCCAAAAGAAAGGAGAATGAACCACCCATCAGGCTATTAGATGATCTATTTCGTAAGACTAAGGGAACGCCCTGCATCTATTGGCTGCCACTGACGCCGGAAGCTGTAAGTTTAGTAGAATTGCCTTAAATTACTTATTCCATGTGGACTAAAATAATATCAAAAACTATCTCTCCAGATTGCAGAAAAAGAGGCATTCCGTCAAAAACGCATCGAGGAACACAAGCAACGCATCAAGGAGCGAGAGGAGCGACAGAAGGAGCGGGAGAAGGACCGCGACCGACAGCGCGATTCGCGCCGTAACCGTTCCAATGAACGGCGGCGATCGCGAAGTCGCGAGCGGGAACGGCGACGTTACTAGGCGGAGGCTTGAGATTGAGCAAATAAAAAAATATCTCAAAAAAAAACTAACATCAACATCCATAAAACTGAAACGAAAAACAGCAACCAAAACTTCTTGAGGGTTCCATTATTACCCGAATCTTTCCATTATGTCCAAGCGTTTTTTGCGCATTCAAATACATCAGTAGGTTTAATATTCAACTTGAAGTCAAATGGACTTCAATTTGAATATTTTTTACTGACGTTTTGACATTCTAACTTTTGAGATTTAAATTACATTTTACCCAGAACTCTTCTCATTGTTGTTGTTTTCTATATATCACATATATATTTCTATATATATATATATAACCTGATTTGATTTTTTTTCCTCAAATGTAGCATTTTACAGCGCCTAACGTCACCTCACCCCCAAAATACATCCACAGCCCCACTCCAGCAACTTCGCAAGTGCGGCAGCAGCAGCGTCAACGCAAGGAGTTCGTCTTACCGGCGGAGTCTGTTAACTTGCAGCAAGTTATTATGCTTACATCTATATATATATATATATATTAAAACGAACAGAAAATATTTGATTTAATAATTGTAATACCAACTCTAAAATTTTAATGAGCCTAGAAATACAATTTACCATCAGTCGGCAACTTGTGAAATGCCACAAAAACAATGTTGTGTTTTAATTTATTTTATTAATTTTTAGGGTTTTAATTGTAAAATCTATGAAAAATAAATTTTAAAAAATATATTTTTATAATTTACTTGACTTACGAGTATTTTGGATCATCTCTAACGAATATCTAGTATTTTCTTATCGATAGTTTATGATAAGGTTCTATCGAAGTCCCACATAATCGAGACGTTTCATCAAAATTAATAAATTGGTGAAAAAATGTGGTCCGACACGATATTAATTGTATTTATTTCGGTTTGCACCGCTTTTCTGGGCGAAGGTAAGTGAAATTCAGTTCATTATGAAGTGATTTATGACTTCTCTGTTATAGGCCTCACTTGGGTGCTGGTTTACCGGACGGAAAAGTATCAGAAACTGAAGACCGAAGTGGAAAAGCAGAGCAAGAAATGTAAGTGAAAAGATTTTCCTTGTAAATGACCAACTAACTCCTTGTGTCCGACAGTGGAGCGCCGCAAGGAGATTCATGGTGATTCCCTGGACAAGGCTGTGAAGAAAAAAATAGAGCGCGATGAGGAGAAACTGAAGAACAACAACAGAGACCTGTCGCTGGTCAAAATGAAGTCTATGTTCGCCACCGGCTTTGCTTTCACAGCGCTGCTTAGCATGTTCAATAGCATTTTCGACGGTCGGGTTGTGGCCCAGCTGCCATTTACACCCATTTCCTGGATTCAGGGTCTGAGCCATCGCAACCTGGCTGGCGACGATTACACCGACTGTTCATTCATCTTTCTGTACATCCTTTGCACAATGTCCATTCGTCAGAACATCCAGAAGCTCCTTGGCTTTGCACCCTCCCGTGCCGCTAGCAAACAAGGCGTCGGGCTTTTCGGACCAGCTCCCGGACAGTTCAAATAGTTAATATCGTAATATTAGCAATAATATCAAGTTACCTTTGTTATGTAGCAAGAGAGATGACCCAATTTTGTGGGAAAATATCTTTTAAATTCATGTCTAATGGGTTAAGGATTGAAAGTTCCGTTTGTGTCCAATAAATTTTATTGATGCCAATTTTTTTTCGTAATTTTAAAGCTTTGCACCTGGCTGGTTTTCGGAAAACCAAAAATTATTTACCTACAGCATGCTCATTGGACTTTTAACAGTTCTATAAAAACAAAGGATCCTAGCTTAAGACTTGACTTTCTTCGTATATGGGTCTTTCCACAATTAGTCTGTCGAAAGTAAGACGCGAGAGGTCAATAGTACGGAACTGGCCATCTATAATCAACTCGGAGATAGCCCGTCCTGCAGCTATCGACTGCTGAATGCCGTGACCGCTGAAACCAGTGGCCACGTAAAGGTTGTGGAAGTAGGGATGGGCACCGACAATGCCATTTTCATCATAGACGTTATGCTCGTAAAATCCAGCCCAGCTGTCGACTACTTTGGAATCTCCCAAGGCAGGTACTCGGTCTGCAAGTTTCGGTCGGATATGTTCCTCAAAGTACTGCGGATCCACCGCTGAGCTGTCGCTGTCATCTTGGGAATTATGGCCGCATATAAAATTACCACCCAAACCATCGCGTCGAATAAAAGTTCCCGAGGGATCGACAGTCAGAGGCATGCCCATTCCAGGGGCATTTTCCGCCTGAGTATTGATGGCGAATAAATATCGTTTACGTTTGTCTATGGGCAGCGGCACTTGCAGCATTCCGGGTCCGACTCCTATCTGCGCTATTCGCGCCACGCTACCGGAATCTGCTCCAGCTGCTATCACACACAATGCGAATTTACAGGTGCGCCGCGTTCCGTCGGCAAAGCGGATGACAGCCTTGTCCAAGCCGTTGTAGCTTCCCTCATTGGATCCTGCGACCACAGACATGTCAGATTGCGCCCGAAAATCGAAGCCAACCACCTCGCCGTTAACAAAATGTGCCCCATTCTTGGCAGCGGAACGCCTAAAGTTGCTGAGCAAAGCCAACGGGTTGAACCAACCTTCCAGCTCTAGTCCGTGACAGCCCAAGGCAATACCCTCTGTATTCAACCATGGAAACCGAATAGCCAGCCGTTCCGCAGTGAGCAACTCGTTGCGGGCTCCAAGCTCGTTTTGCAGTTGGGAGGAGCGCATCAATGCCTCGGCGTCTTCGTCTTTGCAAAGCAGTAGATGGCCATGCGGGGTAAATTGGATCGGCACCTCGGTACCGAAGTTCTGTTTGGAGTTACGTAGGAACTCGGCAGCAAACAGAGACATTTGAATGTTTTCCGGTAGAGAGAACTGCTGGCACAGGCCTCCAACTGAAACTCGAGTAGCAGACTTGGCGAACTAAAACACAGATAAATCGTTAAAAAGAGAAGGTGGACCCCTCAAAATGTACCCACCGTCTCGTCCTTCTCCACTACCACCACGTTAAGTCCGTCACGTGCCTTTTCCTTCAACCAGTAGGCTACGGAACTACCCAGACCACCGCCTCCAATGACTAGCACATCGCAATGTGTTTGGAAGTCGTCCGGTAAAGTGTAATCTCTGTCTCTCTCCCCAGAGAACTTGAACTTGCTCTGGGTGGGGATGGTGTCTTTGGAATCCTCAGGAACAGCTTCTTTGGGCACAAAGAACTCCTTGACCTTGCGCATATCGTTGCCCAACAAACGGAGGGTCCGCCGGATTGGATGTTTGTCTTCGTCGCCATCATTGCCAGGACCACTTCCACTGCCAGCTTGGTTGACTGAGTAGGAACGTCGCTGGAGCATTCGCACCACATGCTTATACCGTAACATTTTTGACTAATTGTAAGAACTAAATTTTAATTCATATTTATGGTTTTAATTTCTATTTTGTAACAAGTGCCCAACGATTGCCGCTATATTGGGTATCGATCAGCGTGACCGCACCGATAACGATAAAAATACTGTTCTGGAACCGGGTAAGCTCGTCTACTACTTAGAGGGAAATTTTTAAATTTAAGGGGAAATTATTCTTTTGGTATTTTCAATCGGTACATTTTTGAGGAAAATCCAAATCGGAACCTGGCAACACTGAAGCAACATTACTTGGCATTTTGATTGGGCAAAAATAAAAAAGTCGGCAATAATTGTGGTAATAGAAAATTAAGAGTTCAAAAAAATGACCAACACAACGGATATTGGTGCCCACGACGTGGAGATGGAGGTGGACCCCGCCGCGGAGACTTTAGCGGACGAGAAGAAGAACCAAGATGTGGCTACCGTGCAGGAGATCCGCGAGCAGATTCGTCAGATTGAGAAAGGAGTCGCCTCTAAGGAGTCGCGGTAAGTAACCAATAATCTGTATTATCCATTGAACTAAGGATAATCCTTCTATTAGATTTATTCTACGCGTACTGCGCAACTTGCCCAACACTCGCCGCAAACTCAACGGAGTGGTGTTCCGAAATTTGGCCCAGAGCATTTACCCGCCAGGAGCGGATCGTGAGGCCGCTGTAGCTTTAATGCCCGCCGTTGAGAAGGACGCCACGGAACTTCCTGATCTAGCCAAAAAGCAGGTTGCCTCGAAGGCACCTATTGCCGAGGTGGACGCCTATTTCTACCTTCTTTTGTTGGTCAAGCTCATCGATGCGAACGACCTTAACCGCGCTGGGACTTGTGCCGACGCCTTGATGGCTAAGATTTCAGTCCAGAACCGTCGCACCCTGGATCTGATTGGCGCCAAGTCCTACTTCTACTTTTCGCGCGTTGCCGAGCTGAAGGACTCTCTTGAAGGAATTCGAGCCTTCTTGCACGCCCGCCTTCGCACTGCTACACTGCGTAACGATTTCGAGGGCCAGGCAGTGCTGATTAATTGTCTGCTTCGCAACTACCTCCACTATGCTTTGTACGATCAAGCCGACAAGCTGGTAAAGAAGTCTGTCTACCCAGAGTCGGCCAGTAACAACGAGTGGGCTCGATTCCTTTACTACTTGGGCCGCATAAAGGCCGCCAAGCTGGAGTACAGTGACGCTCACAAGCATTTAGTCCAGGCCCTGCGCAAGTCTCCGCAGCACGCTGCCATCGGTTTCCGCCAGACTGTGCAAAAGCTGATCATTGTAGTGGAGCTGCTTCTGGGAAACATTCCGGAGCGAGTGGTGTTTCGGCAGGCGGGCTTGCGCCAGTCTCTCGGAGCCTACTTCCAGCTGACACAGGCTGTGCGCCTGGGTAACCTGAAGCGGTTCGGCGACGTAGTAGCCCAGTACGGACCCAAGTTCCAGCTTGACCACACTTTCACCCTGATCATTCGGCTGCGCCACAATGTCATTAAGACAGCCATTCGCTCCATCGGACTGTCTTACTCCCGCATATCGCCGCAGGACATTGCCAAGCGATTGATGCTGGACTCGGCCGAGGACGCTGAATTTATCGTCTCCAAGGCCATTCGTGATGGAGTGATCGAAGCTACTCTGGATCCGGCCCAGAACTTTATGCGTAGCAAGGAGAGCACTGATATATACAGTACCAGGGAACCGCAGCTGGCCTTCCACGAGCGCATCTCCTTCTGCCTGAACCTGCACAACCAGAGCGTTAAGGCCATGCGCTATCCACCAAAGTCCTACGGAAAGGATCTGGAAAGCGCCGAGGAGAGGCGGGAGCGCGAGCAGCAGGACCTTGAGCTGGCCAAGGAGATGGCAGAGGATGATGAGGACGGATTCTAAGCAGCTGCAACAGCAAATTAATCTTGTATTCTCTTTTCATAAAATCGTAATCCGCAATTAAATAAGTAACAAAATTTAAAACAAGTTTTTTCAACAACATGGGATGGTTCAATGTATGTATTAGATTGGATCTTTAATCAGTTGAATAAATTCGTAAGACTTTTCTAATTTTTAATATAAAATACAAAAAGTCCTTAAAATCGAAATAAAAGCTTATATTTATTTGAATCCAGATTCAGCGCTTTTTAAAATCATCGAATTATTATCGGTGGTCCAAAACAAGAGTATATTTAAACCATGCTTTGGGCACACTGGCTCAAACAACATAAACACCACCCCTGGTCACACCGTACCAAAGTGGAAAGAATTAGAAAATTTTGACAAAAATCGCAAAAAATGCGTTGTAAATAAAGTGCACGCAGACAGTAGCCCCAAAAGAAGTGGCCCCCACTGCGAGAGTCTCAGAAACTGTCGCAGGAACCCCACGTGGAGGCAGAAAAATCGCGGAAATTGCAGAATTTGCCAGCGGCGAGTGAAAAGCAACGAGTGCTGGCCAATGTGCTGCAGCCCCCCGATACCCCCGCCGCCCGCGAACCCCGCCACCCGCTAAAGCGCAAAATATATGCGACTGTGTGTTTGTAGTTGTAGTTGTGAGCAGCCTTTGTGAGCAGGAGAAAGAAAAAGGTAGCGATAGAGGCGAGGAAGCGCACGGAGGCGGATAAAAGCCAATTAGTAGTTCGCGGGAAGCTGTCCAGTGTCCAGGCGCGGATCCCAGCCAGCGCCGCCGATTGCGGCTGAGATGCAGCAGCAGCTGCTCCACACCGCGCTTGCTGTCACTGTTTCTGTTGTTGTTGTTGTTGTTGCGCTTTTTGCACCCACCACACGTAACTAGAGCACCAACACAAACACAAACGTACGGCGTACCAAGTAGATGCAACGCCACGGATTCGGAATCGCAATCGGAATAGGAATCAGAATCGCTAGCTGAAACACTGGAGATGATTTGCAAACAGGACGTGCTGCTGTGGTTTGAGAAACTCGAGAGCTACAACCGGATCGAGATGATGTACGCCCTGCTAACCGCCTGCCTGCCGTTCGAGCTGCGTTTCCTGGGGACGCTGCTGGAGGAGCAGGGCAGGTGCGACTCGGAGACGTTGCGCGGTATGGAATTGCGGGCAAATAATCCGCATGATCTTGCCGCCGACATGCTCACCTGCCAGAAGGGCGACCCCACCGACCGCAAGATACGGCGCAAGATGGCCCTTTACCTGGCCCTCATCCGCGCCTGCAATCGTAATTGCGTCAGCGAGATCTACCGCACCCTGGAGTGCTGGGGTGAGTGTGATTTCAGCTGCATCAACGACCAGGATACCCTTCTGGAGCTGCTGCTCGTCTATACGATGGCGGCCATCCATCCCGTTTTCTCCATGGACGAGCAGAAGAAGATTTTCGGCATCCTGGCAAAGATCAAGGAGAACAAGCTAGTGGCCGAGCGGTTTCAACCAGTAGCACAGATGGAGTCCTCAACACAGGTCCAGGCTCAGACGCAAACACAGCCAACGCCCCAGCATCCGCACCCGCCGTCCCCGCACGATTTGATCCTCCAGCCGCAGCACGTGATCCATCAGATGCAGGCCCCGCAGCAGCCACCACCGCATCCTCAGCATCCCCAGATGGTGCAGGTGCTGCAGACTCCACAGGGAAATATTCCCATGATATTTTCTCAGCACTTTTCCAAGGTGAGTCCTCTGTAAAAAAAAATAGAGACCATGACAGAAACATTTCATCCGCAGATCCTGCCTGATCAGATTAGCGTTGACGGCATGCCGCACCTGATGCAGCCCAACATCACCATTCCAGCGGATACAAGTGCTATGCTTGGCCACCAGAACACGCCGTGGTCGATGCGACACTTTGCACCACCGCCGCCACAGCAAACGACCGCTCCGCAGCAGCAGCAGCAGCCGCAGAGCTTGGACCATCAAGTGCCACCGGCCAGCTCGCCCATGCTGAGCCAACAATCCTCGCCGTCTAGCAGCCGCACGACGAGTCCCCAGCGGGAGCGCTCGCTCGGCAATGTACCGATGCAGGCTCAGCAGACGCAACAACAGCAGATGAGGAGCATGTCGCAAAGGATGACGGGGCCCAAGAACACGAGACGTCCGTCGGCGGAGACGACGCCGCCGCCCACTTCCATTGGCGGCGAGCAACAACATGATGTAATTATCTCAAGATTTTTTTCTCTTTCCTTATTTTTAGGAGGCTTCAGTTCAGTGACCTCTTTAAAGATGGATTGTTGGAAGGTGACTAAATGTTACTTTTATTTTTTTCAGAATGTCATTGATGGCGGAAGCAGCAATTCCAGCGGCACTAGCCTGCACAGTATCATCCGCAATGGTTTCCCTCGGCCAGGACACCACCATCGGGTCAAAGCGAACCACTTTATTCCGCAGCAGCAGCACTTTCAGAACAGTAACTTCACCATGAACGCTATGATGCAGAACATGAGCATGAACGATGACGGCAGCGGTTCGGTGATACCTATAAATTCCAATAAAAGTGCCGCCACTACAGGAAGCGAGTCGGGAAGCTCAAATGGATCCTGCGGTGACCTTTCACCATCGGAAACCCCGACACCCACCCAGGTGCCAGTGCCGTTGCACAGTGCAGTGGACGCCAATATGGGCATGGTCACCACGGTGATTCCCAGCGGCCTGGGCAGCTATCCACAAAAGCAGCACCACCTTAGCTACAAACAGCAACAGCAACTTAGTATCCAGCAGCGGCTTAACGGGCGAAACGGGATGGATAAGAACTACCAGCAGATATACACGACGGGTACACCAAGTGTAGTTAGCGAGGCGCAGACGTCTCAGCAGCAGACACTGTTGATCAGCCCGGCACCGGTGAGTACGCCGACGACAACAGTTCTGCTGCAGCCTCAACAACCGCCGCCCGCCGCCTTCAATGCCGCCAGCTATCCATATCACCAACGAGGACCCCCGCCGCCGCAGCAGACTATATTCCAACCACACGGTGCGCCCCCACAGACGGTGCGCGGTGGCTTCCGCTATTCGATGGGCCCGCCACACAATGGTGAACTCCTTTACCCCTTCCCAACGGGCCTGGCCTTTCTGCCAGTGCCTGCGGCCGGAACTCCAACGGCTGTGACGCCACCTCAGCTCCCGAACACGGCAGCAGTGGTAAGCACGAATGCAGCGACCGTACCGTCGGCGCCCCAACAGATTCCCAGCACGCCGTCATACAGTGCGCTGGCCGTCTGCCCCATAACGGGAGCAGGTGGCGGCGGTAACACGGGCGGTAAGGTGATCTCCTGCTACAATTGCGGCTCCCAAACGCACACGGGTCGGGAGTGCCAGGAGGCCTCAATGGAGGATGTGACGCGCAGTGCCAGCTACAAGCTGGACTACTCGGAGACGAGCTTGGATACGAACTCGACGGGGGATCACCACAAAGATGTTGGCAGTATGCAGATGAGCACGGCGACGGCGGGGACGGTTAATAGTACGGGGAAATAGTATCGAAGGTCCATATATACGCGGGCTTATATGGAACTATAATTATAACTATATTAACGATTATGCATAATCCTTACCTACTTATACGAATTACCATTTATTATGATTGTGTAGTGCGGAAATCAAATTTCTCGCCTTTGCCACGTCTCTTAGTTCTTAGTTCCGTAAGCCTCTCAATTCGCGTTACTCGAAGAAGTTCAATGATGGGCAGACGGCTGCCTAGGTCTTGACAACCCTTATCCGTAAATAAGAATGATTTAGACAAGCCATGCCTACAGAACCCTGCCCTTCTCCCCCCTTTTGCCTCCTCCCCTCACACACACATAGTCGATAACGAATTTTAGTCATATGCCACTTTAAATATTTCTACATTTAAGTTGTATGTACAACAGCAATAAGTATAATCCTAATCCGCGTTACGCTGCAGATACGTTCAGCAACTGACCCGCACCCACGGTCAGGTGTTACAATAACCGGGATCGAATTAAGCTGAAGAACCACTACGTAAGACACGTTTGCGACCAGGAAAGGCGTACTAAACCATAAACGTAATCCTAGGAAAACAGTACACGTAGTATATGGAATACTTAGCGAATATATAAAAAATTGATTATGTGTATAAACAAACGAGCATAGCAGCACAATGTGCTTAGTTAACCATTTTTCTTACCATATTCCAACAACCAGACCTACTGATTTATTTTCACGCTACTCCAGTTCCAGTTAATCCCTCATCTATTTATTTCGCTGCTCCTTTGTTTAGACATGTATTTTAGCAATGTGTTTTTTTGTACTTTATATAAATACCCATATAATTAAAAACAAAAAAAGCGATATATATATATATGAATATATATATATACATATATATATGTAATTATTTTAAAAAACCTACAATCGTATATGATACACACACTAATGTGGATAGGGCGTACATTATTGCTAAGCACGCTGTCTAATTATTATTTTTATGTACTCATAACTTGACCCCCGATCAAGTGGGCAGCTGTACATGTATAAACTGGCCAAGTTATCGAAAATAACCGTTCAAGTCATGCCAAAACCCGCCCACGGTTGACCACAAAAACGAAATTGCCTGCCCTTAGTTTCTTATGTACAGACGTTGTTAAAATTTTGTAAAGTCAGCAGACGAACTGCAATGATATGATAAGAAGAGCAGATAATTTACATGAAATACACACTTTACTGAGTTTGCTGCTAATGCGTAGGCGCATGACAAACAATTATTATATTTCATTGAAATAATAAAAACCAATTGTTTCTAAAATTCGTGTAACAAACACAAAGCTAAAAACCACTACTTTCTTTCTTGGGAATATTTGGGGAGGCGGGTGTTGTATGGGTAACTGGGTTTTAAGAGAGGAGGCTCTTTAAGTCATAGTATCTCCAAAGCTAAGGATCTCCACAGCTTCCAGAAAATACTAAGAATCGGAAAAGAGTTGGAAAACAAACCAATTTCTGTTACAAACATCTGAGAATTCTCCGAAAATAAATAGAACGTTTTTCGGTTAATTTCGGCGTTACTTCCAAATGAAATTTATTTCGACCCTTTTTAACCAATATCCCAGCCTTATTGTATCCGATTTCGAAAAGCATTATCAATTGCGAATCAAGGAAGTCAGAATCAGAATCAAAGAAGTCAAAGAAAAAACTTTAATCCAATTTTTAGCTAAAATATGAACTCTCTTCGAAATTTCGAAAAATAGGGTAAAAATTGTAACCTCCAGACATTGGTTACAGATGAGAGTACTTAAAGTTCTAAGAAAGGGAAGACATACCGTTTCTGGATCGGAAAAATGTTAGCTTACTTATACACATTTTCCATTCGAAAAATAAAAATTGGAACAGCTTTGTTAATATTTTTAAATTGAAAAAAAAAAATCTTTTCCCTCACTCTTTAATGAATATTTTTGATATTTCCCAACCGATTCTAAAACCAAATACCATTTATGAATCAGAACTTTAATCTCCTTCGATCTGCATCAAAGATAGAGAAAATCAAAACAAAAAAAATTTTCAAATTTTTGACCAAAATCATGATGTTACCCCTTTGAAAATTTCCGATATTTGAGTAAAATTTCAGTTTGCCAGTTTTTGTTTGAAAATTATTCTACTCAAAGATCTAAGATCGAGAAGGTATAGCACTTGTGGATCCCCCCAGTAATAGGTGACTTATACACATTTTTTCATTACAAAATGTAAAAAATTTTAATATTTTTGTTGACATTTTTGTTTGCACACATTACAGCACACTTTTTTCACACATTACAGCACATATTTTAACCTATTTGAGAACCAAATACCATTTATGACTCAGACCATCAACCGCATACATTAATGCGACCCAGGATTGAAAATTCGAAGAAAAAATTTCAGTTTTATTTATGGCTAAAATTATGATGTTACCCCTTTGAAAAATTACGAAAAATGTCTTTAATTTTTTATGTCCCGATTTTGATAGAGAATTATTCTACTCTAAGATCTAAAATCAAGAAGGTTTACCATTCAATTATCTGGCAAACAATAACAATATTATGGTAAATTCCCTGAAATAAATAAATGAGTTTTCCAAGCTGAGTGCATAATGATAGAATTTAGCTAAAACATAACCTTTTCAGACATTGCTTAGTTCGTGTCGTAGAGGATGGTAAATATTCATATATTTATTTACATATAAATAATTTCCGTTTTTATTTAATTTAGATGTGTTCTGTGATTTATAAGAGACATTCCTTCTAAAACTCGGTTGCAAAATAACCGAAATATAGCCGATATGACGATAGAAGCTAATGTATGCTTGTACTGTTCCGATACTGTATGTAATCCTCCAAAAATGTGTATAATACTAACCAAAATGTAGAGTATATCTGTTGGAGTTCCTCCTGAAGTTAGGTTTTCCCTTTTAGGTTAGTCTTTCAAGTAGCCACTTGCAACTCTTTCGGAAGTTTGATGGGCAACTGGGGCGAAAGAGACTCGTTGGTGCAACCGATTGTGGCGCTCTTAAAGTTGATTTTAAAAAGGCACTCGTCTTGTATTGCCAAGTTTCCTCTGGTCTTTATCAATTACAGTTACAGTGGATAATCCATTAAAAGCACTTTTAATAAAAAGTACATTTTTTTAAAGAATTGAAGAGATTTTTTTTTGATTTGGAACCTTTTTTGAAATAGGGTTTATAAAATATGTTGTATCAAAATTTTACCACCATTTCATCTTTTAATAATAAAGCTTAAAAATATTAGAAAACCTTAAGTAAGCTGAGCTTATTCCCGCTCTATTTAAAATAAAATTTTAATCGCATGTGTTTGTTGAAAAGGGCAGCTAACTGACCCACCCCTAATTAGATGCACACGTCCATCCGGTATCCACTGTACTTCCATGTCTTGAACGCAACTCGGATTTGGGCAACACGAACAGAAACAGAAACTCCGACGGGCCCTCAACCGTGTCCGTCTTGCTGTAACGGCCCAGAGTCATAGCCATAGTTATTGTGTTCGTCTTCAGTGGAGCGGTCGCATCGAGCGGGAGTGGAGAGTAGATCGTATTGCCAAATCCAAGCAGGTGCTTGGTGGCATATATAACCCGACAAGAACACCTTTTTCTAGAAAATATAGAAAAAGTTAGTAAATATAAAGAAAATTCCATATCTCAAATCGAAAAAGAAAAGCTTATGTATTTCGGATCCCCAAAAAAAAAGCATTTATGAAATTCAAAACGATCTTCGGACGGTGGGTGTTCGTTGATGCATAGCCAAGTGGTGTGCAATGCCGTTGTAGTTTTTTACCTAGTTGTTGAGTTAAAAACAGACAGAGACCCAGAGACCATCCGAAACAATGCTCAAAGCCACAAGGAAACCGACGGATCCGTACAAATCGAAGCTGAAAGTTAATGCCAGCCGCAATGAGGCAAGTGTGCTTCCCGTCGACTCGGCGGATGAGGCCACCAATGGCGGCCAATCCACATCTCCCCAGAAGCTCAGCCTGAAGGGCAGCCAACTGGGCGGCAGCATCTTGATAGGCAACTACAATGTGAGTTGAATCCGCTCCGGAATTTTTATATCCGGCATCCAATATCCGGCTTCCGGTGTTAAATTTTCGTTTTCTCTTGTCGTCGACAGTACTTGACCCAGCTGGAGGTTTGCGAAAATGAAATGGAGGTCTTGGACCTCAGCTCTCTGGCCCAACTGGAGACACTCAAGTGCAGCCGGAACAAGCTGATGGAGCTGATCATCAATGCCACCAATTTGCAAGCCCTCGTCGCGGATCACAATTGTAAATTCTGTTCCCATTATAATGCAATTAGGTTGAAATTATTACACAATGCACTTTTTTTTTTAGATCTTCATAATATCTCCACCACCAATACACATCCTGTTCCGCTGAAGCTGCACCGTCTAGACATTTCCCACAACAACTTCAGCGAGTTACCCAACTGGATTGGAGCATGTGCCTCCTTGTCCATCTTGGATGCCTCCAACAATCACCTCAGCAATGTGTCTGGACTGCTTCGGAACTACAGGATTAGCCAGTTGTTGGCTTTAAACTTGGCTTACAATGGTCTCAAGCAGCTGGAGCAGCTGCCGGAGGGCTTTGCCAGCATCCAGAGTCTTCAGTTGCAGAGTAACGATCTAATAAATCTGCCGGACAACTTCTTTGCCGTAACCCATGCCCGGTTGGAAACCCTCAATGCTTCCTGCAACAAGCTCTCCACTCTGCCACGGTATGAACAGAATAATCATGCCGCCTTGGTCAATCTTTCCTTGGCGGGAAACCAACTGAATGATACCATCTTTGAGCCATTACACAATGCCGCCCGATTGAGGGTCGTCCACTTGGCCTACAACCGCATCGGTGTCCTGCCACCCGCCTGTATTCGCAACTGGCCGGATTTGGAGATCCTCGTTCTATCGGGCAACATGCTGCAACAGTTGCCTGAGGAAGTGGCCACTCTGGGACAGCTTAAAGTACTCCGATGTTGCAACAATCTTCTCCTGAGCACTCCCCAGCTGGCCAAGTTGAGTAAGTTGAAGGTTCTGGACCTCTCACACAATCACCTGGACAGGGTGAATCTCCTGGCGCTGGTTCCCTCCCGAAATCTCAAGTTCCTGGATCTTTCGGGAAATCTCCAATTGCAGGTAAGATTGGTTTTTAATAATGAAAGTATATTTCGATAATTTATATCCTAACCAGGTGGACGAGCAACAATTTAAAGTCTGCCAGACTCAGAGCCAACGCCATTGGAGCCTCATAGATGTTTCCGGCAATAATAGAGCCGCCCTACCAACCACCACACTGCGGCACTCCAATGCCCACAAAAGTCAGACCAAGACGACACTGCCTTGGAGTATGGGATTTGCAGAAACCCCAGGATCTGGAGATTGCCGCAAGCTCTTGGTCTGCCAGTTGCGGGCAGGAAATTATGGCACATCCGATGAAGCCCTCTATGGTATGTTTGAGGCGGCCGATGGATTCGCACGAGCGGCGCAGGAGATGGTCCAGCTTGTGCCTGGTCTGATGAAACAGGAGCAACTGGTCAAGGATGCGGCGGTCAGGGATTACATGAAGTCCACCCTGCTAGCGGCACAACGTCAGTGCGGGAGTGTGAGAAGTGCAGCTCTGTTCCATCTGACCAGGACACGGGCCCCCTCCAAAGTGAGGCCGTTAAAAAGCAAGCGTTATGTTCTACGGATGGCCAGTTCCGGACGATTAGATGCCTATTTGGTGCGACGCACTACCCAGTTACGCCTCACAGATTCGGACGCTAATCCGAGGGATCTAGGCTCCACATTAACTATGCCGGATCCACATGTTCTAGAGGTTAGATTTAAAAACCTGTATAAACTTCAATTCTAATTCTTATTCCTACTTCAGCTTACCCTCAGCAATGATGATGAGTATCTGGTAGTTGGGAATTCCCAGTTGTGGTCCGTGATGGACATTGATCGTGCCGCTCGAGAAATTCGCAAGGAAGAGAACGCCCTGTTGGCCGCCAAGCGGCTGGTGGATATCGCCCAGAGTTTCGGAGCGGCGGAGAATCTCAGTGTGATTGTGGTGCGTTTCAGACACCTGGGAACGGACGTGGATCACCTCATTCGAGAACTGAAGCAGAGCGTCCGCAAAAAGCCAGCTCCAGTTCCGGTTCCTGTCTCTAACGGATCTGTTTGCAAGCGGACCTGCTGTGACAGAAGCAACGCCTGTCGCCACCGGGCCATCGAGCAGGAACCTCTGGCGGGAAGATCCTCCCCCAGCGGTCAGAGCGACCGAGATCTGCTGTCCAAGGACAAAGACAGTACCGACAACGAGTTCGTTTTGGCACACGCTCGAGTCCTGCAGGAGGAACAGCAACTGGAGATGCTGGACGAGACGGAATCGGTATTGTCGGAGGAGCAGTTCAAGTGCTGGGAATACATGCTGGAGCAGAACACGCAACTGCTTTTTGACAAGGAGTTGAATACCATTTCCAAATCTTTCACCAAGCAACGACAGGTGCCCAGTGCGATCCTTGCTCCTCCTGCTCCCGCCGCCACCGAACGCAATGATTTTACCTCAAATCTCATGCGGAGTGTCACCAACAAGTTCATATCGACCAGCACCCCCCAGCTGCCCCAGACAATGACCGGATCTACCACAAATCCAGCGCCTCTGGGTGCGTACCATCCCATCAAGCATCCCATTCCTGGACACTTCGGGAGCGCCCTATCCTTCCAACAGGCCAACAGCTACGGGTATAATCTGTTTGATGGCAAGTCCCGCAAGATGTCCGCAGGATCTGTAAAACGGGTTGGAGGACCCCATTCGGCGTACTTCGGATCCTTGCAGCGACTGATGCCCTACAATTTTGAATATGATTTTGCTGCCACCCAGGAGCGGGAAAGGAACATCCTGGATGAGGAGGAAATAGACGAGGATGACTTTAACGAGCAGGAAAGTCGAATGCGAAAGTACTGGGGAGTGGCCACCACGGAATTATAAACTTTAAATAAATAAAAGTTTAAAATAAAAGTACATATCCGTATTTTATATTGGAATAGTTACATATAAACGTTTTTATAGAGTAAGATTGGATAAAAAGTAAGTTTTATAAGTATTATAATAAATAAAAATGTATATAAAACTTTATTTTGGGTATTTCTTGCATTTTTTTATTCAAAATCAAAAGTTTAAAATTAAATCATAATTATTTCTTTTGGTTTTTATATTTTTTGTGAGTAAATTAAGACTTTCTATTTTAAGAACTGAAAATATAAATAAAAGTAAATTATATGGATGTAAAAATAGTCACTATTATCATTTATAAATAATTCAATTATTTATTTTTATTTTTAAAACTTTAAAAAGGGGATTTTTGAAATTAGTTGTGTTTACCGCGCATTGTCGCGCTTTTCAACACTAAAAATCGCGAGCACCGGCTCCATATGATTTCCCATGCACGTTTTTGTTTATTTACAATTTGGAGAACATGCACTTACCACAACAAAGGCCCCACCACGACATAGCCGCCCTTTTTGCGGACCAGCCGGAGTTCCTCCGGGTGAGCGCCCCAATGGTCCGCTACAGCAAACTGGAATTTCGCCGCCTCGTCCGGCTCAATGGCGTGCAGTTGGCCTTCACGCCAATGATGATTTCCGACTCCATCAACAACAGTGAAAAGGCTCGACAGAACGAGTTTACCACGGGACCGGACGATCAGCCTCTGATTGCCCAGTTTGCGGCCAAGGATGCCAATGAATTCGTGACATCGGCGCAGCTCATTTATTCGTATGTAGATGGTATTGATCTGAACTGCGGCTGCCCTCAGGGCTGGGCCATGGCAAAGGGCTATGGATGCGGATTGCTACGACAGCCGGAAGTTGTACGTGAGGTGGTGCAGCAGGTTCGACGCACCCTGCCCTCTGACTTTAGTGTCTCGGTGAAGATGCGTCTACTAGGCGGCGAGAGCTCCCTGGAGCGGACCATTGAGCTAGCGAGGCAGCTTGAACAAGCGGGAGCTACTTTCCTGACCCTCCACGGCCGGACACCTGCACAGAAGCACTCCAAGGATACCCTGGACATTGGTGCCATGTCCGAAGTGCGTCAATCACTGCGAATCCCGCTGATAGTCAATGGTAATGTTGAGAGCTGGGCGGATGCCTGTGAGCTGTCCGAGAAGACAGGGGCTGCCGGTGTGATGGCTGCTCGCGGCCTGCTTGCCAATCCAGCTCTTTTTAATAGTGCGTATCCGGAGGCCACTACTACCCCGCCATCCTGTGTGCAACAATGGCTGGACATCGCGGAATCTGCAGGGGAAAACTTGCTGTTTCAGTGCTTCCATCACCACCTGACCTTCATGTGGAGCACCGAAATGAAGCGATCTTTACGAGTTCAGTTCAACAGTTTGTCCACAAAATCGGAAGTGTTGGACTTCCTCGATGATCACTACAGTATTCGTCCTTCTGGAGTATCCTCGACACCAGCTATTTATACCCCCTGTTCGTACAGCCATTTCACTCCACCGAAGCATGCTCGGCATATAGCAGCCGAGACCGATGAACAGGAGTGGAGCTCGAAGAGCGATGGAAAATTCTTTACAGAATTCCGAAAGCACCAGTTGACTGGAACTGGTGGCGAAGACTTGGAGCTGGGGGGTCTTTTTGGCGAAGATGAGTAACTTTGATTTTAAACTTTTAATTTTCTGCCCTCAAGTTTGTACATAATAAACACAAATTAAGGCTTGAATAGCATCTAGAAATCCAATATTTTTATTTTAGAAATAATTTACAATCAAATACGGACAATTCGAAGTAATGCGGGAAGATTAGTCCCCCAGTAATAATTTTGGATCCATAATTTAATCGTTGGTAGAGTGCCTAGGATACTTCCATAAATCTATGGCAGATTCTAAAAACAGGGAACTATCTTGTGGAAAATTAAGGGATTTTTAAAATAATCCACCATTCAACTGAAATTGATCCGATGATCAAATAATCTTAAAAAAAAACAAAACATACACATATATTTTTTTCTTATCTAATCTAAATAAATATTTGCTATCAAACTAAAACTTAGTTTTAAAACTTGTGCATTTAACTAAAAATATATTTAAAATTAATATTTAATTAAAATTTTGCAGAAGAGGAAACGATAGTTTGCCAAACCTATCGATAGTATCTGGTTTTTTAGTCCATCTTCAATAGTTGGGTATACATTTCGCAAACCCCACAAAATCAAACAACCGAAGAAATGCGACGCCGGGAGCTGCAAACCATCCAACTAAAGCTCTCTGAGCTCAAAGAGTACGAGCAGGCCAAGATGGAGCGCCTGAGAAGCCGCCAGCAGGTGCTGTCGCCGCGCACGCCCACGCCGACGTCCGACAGTGATGTTCTACCGATGCCGTCCACCAGCGTTCCGGCTGTTCTACTGGCCAGCGGCACTGATCCAGAGGAGGACCCCAAGGCCACACCCAAGTCCAGCACCACATCCACATAAGGATACGGGTAAGTTCGCTTTTATTAAGGTTTACATTGGATGACCATCGGGGCTTTGAAGGTTGTTCTGGAAGCGAACCGTTTCAAAACCGTCGACCAGAATTTCACGGTCCTCCGCCTGCTGGCGTTCTCGTAGCCACTGCTCTCGTACTGGAATGTAGCGTCTCAGTCCGGGCAGTTTCCGCCAGCAACGACGCTTGTACAGAACCCAAGCTATCGAAAGGCTGCAACCGAACAGGAAGCAAATAAGGAAGATGCTGACGCCGTGAGGGTGAGAGGAAGCTACGGCCACAGACTCGGAAATTTCCGGTGGGGCCAGTTCCTTGGCCGCTCGACTGTGTGCCTGCTGACGCTCCTCTTCAGAGCAAATAGTAAAGGGAACGAATGGCTTCATCACGTCACCAGCCAAGGAGTAAACTCGCACGGCGTATTCCTGGAATGTGACATTCAGCTGCCTCACATATGTATAACCGGCACTGGTGCGATCCTTACGAGTCAGACAGCCCACGTGAGTCTGCTTGTAGTTGTTCCGGAAGTGTATCACATAGTATAGAACCATTCCGTTGGGCTGTTTCGGTTCATCAAAGCGAATGATATATTTTTGCGTCTCCGGATGATGGCATCCGTGCAGCTGCGGTAGTAAATCCGCGCCCACAGTGTAGTTGGTGCGTTCATAGAGCGCTGTATGGGTACTGCAGCCCAGGTCGTTACAGGCCTGAAGCTGAACAACGTAGAGATGGTAGCGTTGAAGTGGTTTTAGCTTGTACTCAGTAGTATGGGCCGGCAAGCGAAGCTGTGTCCCCTCCATCTGATTGCGACACTGCTGAGGATTGTCGAGGCTGCAGCGGTATTCGTTGCGCATTTCGGAGATAAAGCGTTGATCATCTTCCTGTTCCGCCTTGTGAGCACAACAGTCGTCGTAGTCCTGAGACCATTGGGCTCCTTCCACGTCCTGCCACATGACCGGTTGGTGGCAATAGTTACGCTGCTCTATATAATTCCTGTCGTCGTTCATCTCCATCCACGTCAGAAAAAAGTAATCATGATCATGGCTCTCCATTCGGACTGTAAGCGTACTGTCGGTCTTGTTGACCAGTTCCAGGATTGGCTGTTTGGGAATGTCCCTATTGGTCTGAACATAGGTCAAGTCACTGCGCGCATCGTGCGTCACATCCTCTCCAAAGGTGCGAAGCAGGCAGGCGTAACGGGTATCGGGCTCTAAATCATCTAAAAGGATCTCATAATGTGTTCCGTTTCCGGTCAGTTCATCGCGAAAGAGCAGGCGGCGTTCCCAGTTAATCCGGGTGCACACAGGCGCCTCCAGTTCACTATCGTCGTGATACAACATTCCTGGCGCCATCGGACGATAAACGAACTCGATCTTTTGGCTAGTCTGGGTTTTTAGCCAACTTAGTAGCACTGTTTTGTGGGTGCATTTCTAAAACACATAGTTTGAAGTAATTTAAGATAAAGATTTTAATTTTATTTTTAGTTACCTGCACAAATAATTGCATCTTTGCCGGGCTGCACATTACTTCCTGATCGCTGGTCTGCAACGAATCCAAGTCCCTGTCGTGGGTCACAAAATTCTGAAACTCCCGCATCCGTGGGTTACATAACTTGTTATTCCGATGAATGTACATGCCACCCTTCATAAGCTCCAGCTTCTGGGTGGGCTTCCACAGTTCAGTCAGCTTCTTGTTGTCATAAAGGATAAGAGAAAAATAGTTATGCTCCATAGGATCGCCATGAATCCTCTCCAAATTGCTCAGAAATTTCAGACTGGTTAGCTGGGAGGACCTTTTGGAAACCAAATCTTTAGTTATCCGCTAAGTTTGTAAAAATTCGTAGCTTACCGGAAGACTTTGAGATATCCCCGAATCTCTCGAATGCCGCTAAAACTGTGAATCAACTGGGACTCGTTTATAAGATTACGGATTGTGATTACCACACTGCCGTTGAAGATCTGACATCCGCGCAGCTTTTCCGCTTCGCCCAGGCTGTATATATTGAAGGTGTTTCCTATCTGGGGATTGCAGAAACTCACGCAAGCCTCATCGCGATCACATGCGATGCACACGGATTCATTGTTCACCTTGTATCCACTGGGGCAGAAAGCCACGCACTGTGAGGCGTAAATAACATGATCCTGCTTGGCCAGGCACTGCTCCTTGGTGTAGCATCGCAGATGGCCCTCATGAACATACCTAAAAATATCAGTTGTATTATAAAGGTCTTTATTATTAAGACTGCCGGGGGTGAACTCACTTGTCAGCCGGACACGTTTTCACACAGACTCCTGCATTGCTGAGTCCTCGACATACCGAACACTCCGCCGGAGATTTTTTCTTACTTGTACAGCCACCCAAGCACTCTTCATGGCATGAATCGATACTTCTGTAAAATAGTAAACTGTGGTTGTTCTTGGGCTATTCCGTATTCAATCAAAGCTCACCTTGAGTAGTTGGCAACGTTGTCATTAAGGGAACGGTGACAGTGCTGGTCAGACCAGCAGCTGGAGGAGGCACATCCCCGGCAAACGGGCTGGCTGCAGTTGCTCCCCACAGCCATGATGTGGTTCTCGCCTGGGCTGAGAGTAAGCAAATCCCAGTTAACCTGTTTAGCCAAGATTCTTTGTTATTTTATAGAGGAATATTTTGTGACTCTGTCCTTACCCCGTCAATGTGGCAAAGCTTAGGGCAGTTGCCGATGTAGACGTGGCCCCGTTGAATAGCCACCAATTCCGGAAAGGCCAACTAAATATGATGTTTTTATGAAGTTTGGGTTTCTTTGGGACATAATTCTATACCCACCAGTTCGAGGTCAGGCATGCTGGTCACTCCCAAAGCATAGTTGAGAAATAATCTGCGACCCCGAATGACAGTCAGGCGTGGAAACATCGCCGATATATTGGTCAGACCCCGGACATCCGTGAAGATCATATATTCGGTGATTTCGGTGAGCAGAGGGAACGTATAGTTGCTGTTTGAGCAGTTTTCATCGGGATTGGTGATGAGGGTGATCATTACGTATCCGGTGACGACCGTACAATTGTCCAGTTGATGCAGTCTGCTGCAGTTATTACGGATATCGACGCTGGAGCATTCGTGGTAGGCCTTGGCGTTTGAACTTGATGCCAGTAGCAGCATGCTGCCGATGATTAGCAGCATGTTGCTAAGGCTGATGTTGCTAAGATGCATGTTGCTTAAGTTCGTGTTGCTCGAGTAAAACTATTTTTTTAAAACAATTCTTAAAAAATGTTATTTTGCACTTTGTTTCTTCTTTTGCTTCGGCCAACAACGTCGTCGGCTCAAAAGCATTTCTTAGGTTTTTGTTTTTTTAAATATTTGATCGGATTGAATCGTATCCCTTACAGTTATAGCACTTGTTTTGTCTCCCTTTTCGAATGCCTAATTAACGCTCCAACCAGCCGGCCATCTGATTAGCCTCGAATGTTTATTTTATGACTCGCTCACTGTTCTGGCGGCTTTTTGGGTTTCTGTGTTTTTTTTACATTTACGCTTTCCACAAAGCTCACAATCGGGGGCGAAAAATCGCACGAATCTCGGCAAGGGCTTGTTTGCGCCAATATTGGGCTACTTCTTTTTGCTTATTTGTCCGATTGTCTAAAACTGAAGCGTAAACAAACACTTTATCGAACACACACAGACTCCCACGTAAACAAGAACATATTATTGGCGTTAATTTAATTTTTTTTCGGCATCTCTTGTATTTGTTTATTGTTATTGTTTCTTTTTTTTTTAAATTTATTTATTGGCGCTAGCTTGGCATCATGCTGGGCAAACGGTTGAGTGGTTTTGTTTCTTCGGGTCTCTTCTCCTTTGGCACATATTTCTATAATTGTAAGGGTTGTCATATATATTAAATTCAAAAATATCTTAATTATTATCATAAAGAATTTTTGAGATAATATTACAAAAATAGTTTAATTTCTTTAAGAATAAATTTATAATAAAAAAAAACTAATTAAAATAAACATTTTTTTCCACTTTCAGAGGCTCTAAATCTTCACTACCTCACTGGATGCAGCAACCTACATATACTTTACAAATATTATAGTTTACATAAACTATTTAATTTTAAGATACTTTTCCTATATGTATGACAAACCAAATACGAACCGAATTTAGGGTTCACAATGAACTATACTACTAATATATTATATATAAATTTTACTGGTCATCATCAGTAAAATTTAGTGCCAATACAGCCAGTCTGTTAAATATAAGCAAGAATTTAACAAATATTTCAAGGCCATTTATAAATTTGAACGATTCCAGCTGGCCAGTGGCCACACACGCGGCCCAAATATGCAATTAAAATTTTGGACAGTTTACGGAGAATGTTTTTTAAGAATTTTTCGACCCGCCAAATGGGAGATTTGGGATGAGCAGATGCGCCCCACCGACGACGAAGACGACGACCACTCGACGATGTTCACCTCGCGACGATCGATAGCCGACTGACCGTCTGGGGACTGCGTCCGTCTCTGTTTTTGGAGAACAACAAGCAAATTGATTTTTCATTTAGCGTCTTCTGCCTTGTGGCTGCAGCCTTCAGCCTCCGACCCTCGCATCTCGCCGATACACTGGATACCCTGCCCTGTCCGGCGGCCTCTTTGTCGTCCGTAAATTGATTAAGCGTTTGATTTCTACGGGAATGTGAACAAATTGATTTGTCATCAGCCGGCATAGCTTATGCAACGGTTCTCAATGGGGTTCAATTTTATGTAGTTTAATATTTTGTAGGTGTATCTCTGACGTATTTCTCGCAGTGCAGCCTTGCATTCAAGTTTTATGGCTCAGTTCTTGGGCTGGAAGCTCTTGTCAAACCACCAGCTGATCCGAGAGGATCATAAAAACAGCTGACTCCAATTAGCCACATGGCACCGGGACACCGGCAACCGGCATCCCAAGTTAATACACATACTAAGGTAGTTGGGCAGGCAGGAGAGGAGAGAATTCCCTAGCAACTAAATCGAGCCCAGTCCGAGAAGCGATTAAGTTTAACGATCGGTGGTCCAGACTTCCAGAAAGCATAGATTGCAGTTACTTGGAAGATCCTAGTCGAATGTCGTATGCCCTTTTTTAAAATAATATTTTGATATTTATATTTTTAAATTAGTTGTTCTTTTATTTATATTCAACTTAAAGCCACTTGAATTTAATTTTAAATAATACGGAAATCATTTGAAAGTGTAAAGTGTCTCGGTTCTTGACGTCATCTTATTCGTATAAAATATCATTTTATGTATATTTTTCAAGACTGCGAGGGGTTCGTGTCAAAGTTCAATTAATTCAATTAAATTATTGGATGCGTGTATGCTCAGATCAACATATCAGTTCATTGGAAAGTGCTGCGCAGTGGAGCAGGTTCTTTTATTTTCTCTTTTTTTTCGTTAGTGTCGTCGTATTGTTTTTAGTTTTAAAGAATCGCAGCTTTTCGGTTAAAATGCAATTTTTTAATTTACTTTAAGTTTATTGGCTTAGCTTAGGAGAGGAGGAGCCTACTCTGGCGGCGTGTTGTCGTGTATCCACTCGGCAAAGTGGGCCACAGAAGTGTAGACACTTGGGATGCGCAATCCGCCGCAGTTATCCGATCCGAAGGACATGATGCCGATCTGGAAAAGGACAAAAGGCTATCATTGTAGTTATTAGTTAAAAATATAGAATTTTCTAATTACCTGAGAAAATATACCGTTCTCCTGGATAAACAGGGGCGCCCCTCCGAATCCCTGACACACATCCTTGCCCTCGCCGCCTGCGCACATCCACTGGCCCTCAATAGAGTTGGGTGACTCCAAAGCGCCCGTTGATCCATAGTTCCTAAGACACAGATCCCAGCTTGTGAGTGGAACATCCAAGTGGGACATCTCCGGCTGCCGGACACTCGAGGTGGACATCTTTCCCCAGCCGGCGATCGTGGCCCGCTTTCCCACCACCAGGTTGGCGCGTGTCTTCTGCAGGCAGATGGGTTGTGTGGCCACTGGCGGTGCGAAATTGGAAATGGGTGGATCGCCATTAATCTTGAGTTCGATTTTTGGTGGCTACCTGCTGGGGCTGCAACATTGTTGCCAACTGACCTAACCAGAGCGCCCAGAAAAGGGGTCTTTTGGAGTAATCTCTAAGGTTATCTGGGTTTGAAGGTTTTTAAATAGTCATCCTTTAATAACTTACAAAAAGTAGTATATTCTTATAAAGGCCTTTCTATTTTTTAAATGAGAGAAACCCTTTTCATCTACGCCCCTGCAGATCCATTGATTTATCTTTGTTCGCGTTATTTTATCGGGCATTATAAAGCAATAAGGGCGATCACAAACAAGTTGGGCAGCCAACTGGGCGACGCCTTCTTTCGGTTCGCAAATAATGTGTTGTTTACGAACTTGGCCAAATTGCAATTAGCCAATCGATTGCCTCACCAGAAGACACTCGACCGGTGGTGGCTGGTAATGACCCTTATTTGTTCTGTGATGTGCGAGGAAAGTGACCGTAATATGGATTTTATCCTTTAAAATTCAATTTGGGGCCACATCACGTCCCAGTTAATTTGAGTGCAGTAACCAACAATTTAAAGTTCAGTGATTTTCTCAATGAAATCATACAGTTTTTTGACCTTCATGCTGGAGATATAAATAAAGAGAATGGTCTATATAGCTATCTTTAGCTTAAGAAGGTTTTGAACCCCATAAGCCCCATTCAGATCATAATTCCAAAGTTCGTGGCTATTGAACTGAATCTAAAAAGCTGAAAAATCAAAGCCTCTACTGTGGACAGTCCGCGTCCAAGTCATTAGATGGTACAGTAAGCACGCTCCAAAGCCCAACGCCGCCCAATTAAATGAGTGATACACCCACTCCGCCCCCTGAATGGTGGGCATCCCAACCTCGAATTAGCGACATGCGACACATATGGCAACAAACAGTAAAGGATGAAGGGGCTCTGGGGGGGGAGCACTTATTGACATTTGTGAACTTGGAGCGAGTGGAGCTGATGGAGTACTTGGAAAGATGACAGAACAAAACGATTTTTAATTATCACCGACACTGTCAAGCGTAACTGCCCCACATCCCACCATTCCCACTCCCATCGGATACTCACCCGAATAGTTTAGTGGTGTTTTGAGTACCAACAGGGCAATGTCATGGTGGTACTGGCCCTGCTTGTAATCGGGATGCACGATCACATGGCTGATGGCGTGGTTGACGGAGCGCGGGGCACAGAATCCGGTGTTGGCGCAGTCCGGATCGCTGGACGTATCGTACTCGCCCACCCGTACCGATGATCTATGGGAGAAAGTTGATCGGATGGTGGATAAGCTGTCGGATGACCAAGTGACCCACTTACAATCGATGCCCGTCGGCCTTGGCCAGAGCGCAGTGGGCTGCAGTGAGGATGACCCGCCTGGCGATGACGGCTCCGGCACAGGGATAGGCAAATGCTCCCGTATTGACATCTACAAACAGACTTTTAAGTTTAGGATCCTAGAATGTCCTTTTCAACTCACGCTTGAATCCAATGCGTGCCACAAAGGGATACGATCCCAGTCCCTTGTAAAAGTGTCCTTGAACCAAGGACTTGCCGCACACCTGGTTCTTCTCCAAGGGACTGCTGGGACAGCAGACGTAGGGTAGCTCCTCACTTGTCCCGCCGCAGTAGAGCGACTTATCGCCGTAGAAACAGCTCCTGGCCACTTCGTAGATTAGAGCGGTGCAGTCGTGGAGGGGCGTGCACTCCGTGCCCACGGAGCAGCTGGACTGGGAGGCGGAGAAGCCACCATCGTAGTAGGAACGCGCGGCCACCGAGTGTCCGGATGTCTCGTTACCATGGACTGCACTCTTTGTTTCCGGTTTTGGATAATTTACGGGAATAACGAGTTTTTCTTGAAAATTTGAATAATTTAAAGTTAGATGTATGGCTTTAGAAAATTTTGTCTTTATAAAATTCAGGACACAAATTAAAACCGCTTTGATTCACAGATAGAGGTATTATCAAAGAGGTATTATAGTTTTTTCACAGGTGGGTTAAAATCAAGGATAATGAGAAGATAATACACAAAGTCCTTAGGTCCTTAAAAAATATTTATACGTATACGTATAATATTACGTATATCCTACCAAAATCCCCCGATTCCGTTCGACCGATGGCCAAAATTTGTAGAATTATACACAAAATGGAAATGGCTCGCATTTTAATACACAATTTAGTAAAAATCACTCGATTCATTTTATCCGCTTTTTAGTTTAGGAGCACTTTCAGTTATGGTGCGGTATTTGTGGTCAGAACTTTCGGTTTCCGTTAATTGGAACCGTTCGGGTTAACACAACTTTGTCAACTAAACGCAGTGATATACCCCAGCGATCTCTGGCCAAATGAAAATGAAAATATATACATACTCGTATGATATGCACATAAGCAGATAAGTATATCACGAACATTAGTACACGTTTATATACTTTCATACTCGCTCGTCTGGCGGGGTCTGCGGTTATTAACTGATTTTTATGACAGTTTGGTCTCAATTCGCGACCATTTGTGCATTTGTTGGGCAGATACATAGTTTTATTTTTTTTTATATATTCTATATATTATAGAAGCATTTAATATCATAACATGCAGATGCGTTCGACCATTGAATGCAATTTTATTAGTTCTGCCTATTTTTACCATCGCTGGAACATGTTGAATACCACTCTTCATAAAGTTCTTATAAATATTGTTAAACTAATTTTTATTTTATAATTTGTAAAACAATTAAACTGCAATAAAAATACATAATTAAATTTATAGAATTATTTATTCGGAAACCCTTAAAAAAAAGGTAACTTTGTATTCTATATGCCTCTAACTTTCCTCTACGTTTGTGTATACATATTATTATTTTAGTCGGATTTTTTTGTAAAATTTGTTGTAGGTAATAATAAAATATGTTGAATGAGATCATTTAGAGTTGATAAGCTTGGGCCATTTCACTGGACACACGGCCAGCTGGTTCCAGTTTTTTAAACAGGAAAACAAGCGAGACAAACGCACATTAAATTGCTTAATATGTTTAGGGTTTGTTTGTGGACATTCCTACTGCCGACTGACTGCTAAATTGTTTTGTAATTTTATGTTGAATTTTCTTTTTTAAGTGGCCAGCATTTAACGGTCAAGTTTTACTTTCGTTGTGTTTTATGGGCCTGGGCTTCAAGAAATACTCGTAATATCACTTTCACATTTGTTCGGTCGAAAGGGAATTACGGATCGTCATCCAAAGGTCTTAGTCCAAATATTCTTTGAGGACACTTTTCGGTATGGTGGCCGACCCGCTCATGGTCGCCATGTGGCAGCGGCCGTTCGTATCCACGTCTTCACCTGACTGGTCCCCAGGTGGTGGTATCAAACATGTCATGGTGAGATTTTCAAAACCCTCCACATATATGGTGATATCCTGAGTGCTGTTTTGGGGCAACGGATAGCTCGACCGGATCTGACGGAACACATCATAGCGATCGCGCAGCTGGACATCCACGCTCTCGGAGGGACGCTCTTCCGCCTGGAGCGTTCGGAGCACAGAAAAGAGGATTACCTGGTTTTCGATATAACAGTCGGGCAATAGACTTTTCTCCATTAGTAAATTGGGACACATGGTGGGTAGACAGTAATGTTCTGTGGCGCTTCCTTTTCCTTAAATGGGGGGTTCTTGCTTTTTGCAATTTCGTTAGATGATTTTTCTTTGAAAATATAATTCTTTGCTCATAAGTATACTCAATTTTAGTAGTTAGGTCAAGTCCTGGATTGAACAGTGATGTTATTCTGAGGCGCCTACTAGGCACTATATATAAAAACCATTAAAAAAAAGAAAGGAAAGTTAACTTCGGGCGGAGCCGAAGTTTATATACCCTTGCAGTTTAAACCGGATATATGTCGCAAACATCGGATATAGTTGGCCGATCCTTTGGGAATATGAATATATAATCTAATTTATTACAATACAAAATCTAAAAAAAGTCTCAAGCTTCTATCTTCAAAAGTACCAAAGTTGGTATTTCTACCAAAAAACATTTCCGATCGTTCAGTTATATGGCAGTTATAAGATATAGTCGGCCGATCGTTATGAAATTTGGTAGGTCGGATTAACTGACCAAGAATATAATCTGTACCAAGTTCCAGCTTTCTATCTTCAAAAACACGAAAGTTGGGTCATTTCCGATCGTTCAGTTATATGACAGCTATAGGATATAGTCGGCCGATCCTTACGAAATTTGGCATGTCGTATTATTTTGCCAAAAATAGCGCTCGTGTAAAATTTTAACTCTCTAACTCTAAAAACACCGAAGTTATACCATTTCCGATCAATCAGTTATATGGCAGCTATAGGATATAGTCGGCCGATCCGGGCCGTTCCGACTTATATACTGCGTGCAAAGGAAAGAAGGGTGTGTGCAAAGTTTCAAGTCGCTAGCTTTAAAACTGAGAGACTAGTTCGCGTAGAAACAGACAGACAGACGGACAGACGGACAGACGGACATGCTCATATCAACTCAGGAGGTGATCCTGATCAAGAATATATATACTTTATAGGGTCGGAGATGTCTCCTTCACTGCGTTGCACACTTTTGACCAAAATTATAATACTCTGCAAGGGTATAAAAAGAATATAATTGATTCGAATGGTTTTTTTTGACTATTTGAAATTTATAAATTGTTTTGTTCCACAAACAATAACAATTAATTAATAACAATGGCTTGTATTGTTTATATAGAGATCATTTTGCATCGTATATTGCATAATTTCTCACCGTTAAACTGTTAACCCATTAAACAACAAAAGAATGTTTTTTGTTTGTCCATAAAAAACGGAAGCATGACCATTTAAATGCTTAATACATATCACATAGTATTATATATAAAAAAAAATCAAAGCATATGATTTTCGCAACAAAAAAAAATACCCATATACCGTTATATGACACTTATTGCCGTTTTGATGTGGCCATTAACGTGTTTAAGTTGTCAGTAAATTGCTGAAATTTTAATGGCCAGCACACATAGGGAATTACTGCCTAATACCACTAACCATACAGCATATAGACAACCCATTTCATACAACGAAAATGGACGCGAAAATTTCTTGCGACAGGCCCCAGCAGGCCCCAGAGCGGATTTCTTACGCTCTCTTACGCTCATCGTTCGTTCATCTTACGCTCATTCTCGCAATAAATGTTTTCTGTTTCTCAGTCTCTAAACGGAGCGCGATGAAGAAGGTTGGCCTGCGCTTCGGTTGATCTTTGTATGTATGCGTGTCACACATTCACATACATGGGTGTATGTGGGGCGATTTCGTTTCGAACCAGCGCACAAAATTTTGATTTTTCTTACTTTTAAGGCTTGCTACCCTAACAAAATTCGGGTATTCGTTATTTGATGAAATGACGAAAGAAATTATATTATTTTTTATTTTATTTTTTTTTATTATTTCAGCATACATTTTTAATTTATTTAGGAATAAGATTAAGTGTTAGTAGTAAAATGTTTTCTGTATATATATTTTTACGAATCATTAAAAATCAATATACTGAGAAAGTGTCAGAGTATATTTCGGTCGGAGGTCACTTAAAGCGCCGATTGCTTTTAAGTTTTTGTTGTTCTGCAAGAGGCTTGTGCATGCCTACTCTAACGATGGAATGATTTTTAGGGAGGTGAAGACACGAAAACAGCTGATGGACTTGTTTACCTTTTTTGTTTACAATTTTTCAGGCACTTGTTATTATATTTTGGGTTATTGTGAGATTTAATTAAATTATTGTCGTTAATTTAATAATTTCCTTATATATATTTCCTTATATATAATAACTTTAAAAAGTAATTTAATTCTTCACCCGTCTTCACCCTCCCCTAAAAATCATTCCATCGTTAGAGTAGGCATGCACAAGCCTCTTGCAGAACAACAAAAACTTAAAAGCAAACGGCGCTTTAAGTGACTCCGACCGAAATATACTCTGACACTTTCTCAGTATATTGATTTTTAATGATTCGTAAAAATATATAACAGAAAACATTTTACTACTAACACTTAATCTTATTCCTAAATAAATTAAAAATGTATGCTGAAATAATAAAAAATATAATATACAAAATAATATAATTTCTTTCGTCATTTCATCAAATAACGAATACCGAATTTTGTTAGGGCAAGCCATAAAAGTAAGAAAAATCAAAATTTTGTGCGCTGGCTTAACGAAAACCACAACACACCCATTATGTGAAATGTGACACGCATACATACAAAGATCAACCCGCAGGCCAACCTTCTTCATCGCTGCGCGAGACTGAGAAACAGAAAACATTTAATGCGAGAATGAGCGTAAGATGAACGAACGATGAGCGTAAGAGAGCGTAAGAAATCCGCTCTGGGGCCTGCTGGGGCCTGTAGCAAGAAATTTTCGCGTCCATTTTCGTTGTATGAAATGGGTTGTCTATATGCTGTATGGTTAGTGCTAATACACCCAAAAAACACATATAATTGCTTGGGGTCAAATGAAAATTTAGAGTTGACAGTGCTTTTGAATGAACTTTATTTAAGTAGAATTATGCATTTTTTTGTAGATTTTCTTTAATTATCGTTTCTTGCTGTACGAGAACCATCCATTGTAGGCCGATGCTGATGAAAGCAACAGAATGCCGACTAAATATCCAAAAAGCTTCATTTCTCAAAAATCCAACTGCTTTGATATACCGAATTTGAGCACCTTTTATACTTTCAGAAATGTAAAAAGCGTTTTATTCCTATAATTTAATTACAGCGTAGACCGTTTATATAATTTGAAGCAATTCTAATTAGTCCAGACTTTTCTAAAAAAAAAAACGTTTCAGACTGTAACAGATACTTTTATTTTTACAGATAAAAAAAATTGTCATTTTACGGTTTTTTATTTTTTTGTAAGTGGGATGCAATCTTGGAATTCTTGGAAAATATTTTGTCTCATGGATTTTGATGCAGAATGGTGACAAATCGATCCAAAAATCGTTTAAGGTACTCCGCTTGAGGATCGGATGGGAATTGGGGAAGATATAGCCATCACTGTGGCCCCTATAGGGGAAAACCACAATTTCAAGGGATCCCATCACGAAAAATGAACAAAAATATGGGAAAAATATTTTTTCTCAGGATTTTGATATAGAATCGATCCAGAAATCGTTTAAGGTACTCCGCTTGAGGATCGGATGGGAATTGGGGAAGATATAGCCATCACTGTGGCCCCTATGGGGGAAAACCACATTTTCAAGGGATCCTATCACGAAAAATGGACAAAAAATCTAAAAAATATTTTTTATCAGGATTTTGATACAGAATGGTGGCGAATCGATCCAGAAATCGTTTACGGTACTCCGCTTTAGAATCGGATCAGAATTGGGGAAGATATATCCATCACTGTGGCCCCTATAGGGGTAAGCCACATTTTCATGGGATCCTTATACAGAAATGTATATGACCCCAAGACATAGAGGCTATGTTTTTTAATTTTCACGTGATTGTTGAGCGGAATACATACCTCGAAAGTTTTTTATTTCGATTCCCTGTTAATCAGCTTCCAAATCTACAAATGTAAAAAAAATGAAGAAAATAAATTCACTTCCCCCAACTAAATAATCATTTTATAATAAAACTTTTGGTTAACAATTTTTTGGTTGTCTTTTATTCTTATATGTCAAATAGTAATTTATTCCATCGCATTTGTTTTATCATTTGTTTTACGTAGTTGCTTCATTACTGACATTTCTATGGTTGAAATATTTTTTGTTTTGTTTTTGGTTTTTTCTTTAGATATAAATACGACATCACGTTTTCGTAATTGATATTTCTCCTATGCAATTTTTGTTGTATTCCTATATAAAGCAATAAATAACTTGTGTTTTTTTTTGTTTGGTTTTTTTTTTGTTTTTTTTTTTTGGGGGATTGGGGGTGCCGATCGTCAACATGTTGCTACCCCACTCGATGTCCCGCATTTGTTTGACGCTATACAGACTTAAATTAATTTAAAATTCAGTTTTAGTTTCCATTCACTATACACAAATATACAATATTTACATGAAAATATCAGGGTTACAAATATGTAAATGATAGAGCGATTTTCTCGTGGAATCATAACGCTTAGTAACATTCAAGCCGTGTCTCGAAGATAAATCATAGGATTTTGAGCAAATTGTATTTGGTTTTTTTTTTTGTTTGTTTTGGAATGTTTTTTTTTTTTGGTTTTGTTTTTAAATAATAATAGAAGTGCATAAACAATATGTGTGTTGCAGCGTTGCCACATTGTTGAAGGTTTAAGCTTTGCTAATGTTGCTGCGGAGAGCTTTCAAAATGGCGAGGCTGCTAATGTTGCTAACAGATGTTGCCAACCGGGCTTGCAACCGGTACGTCAAAATTAAAATTAAAAGTTATGTGAAAATAGTAACGACTATGTTAGCCCCGTCACTGCTGAAACAGCAGACTGCGCTGCATCTCAAAATAACGCAAAAGAAGATCTGAGTATCAGTAATGTACTCCGGGAGGCGGATTGGAGGCGGCACTTACACTGCCACTACCACCGCCCGCGTTGCTGTTGCTGCCAGTGTTGTTGTTGTTGCCACTGCTGCCACTGTTGTTCGCATTGTTATTGTTGTTGTTGGCGCTGGTAGTGTTAGTACTGCCGGAGTCCCCCAGCCAGGAGTCAGGGCTAGGCGGAAAATCTGGATAGCCTTGATCCGGACTGGAATCGTTGCTCAGATCCGAGACATTGTTGCTACTGTGCAGGCGATGGTGCGACTTGCTGGCATGCAGATTGGTACCCACAGCATGATCTACAAGGTTTGCATTAGTTAGTATAGGCTTATAAGTCTTTCAGGTCTTAACCCACCTATATTGGTGTACACGATGTTATCCGGATAGGAGCCGAAGGTGTGTCCCTGGCCCACTGGCGGCGGTGACCGACTGCTCGGCGGATACTGCGATGGACTGGAGCTGCCGTGCATGTACGATCCCCGGATGCTGTGGGGCGAAGCGCCCTCGTCCAGGCCCAAATTGACGGTACTATAGCTATCGTTGCTTAAATCTGTAAAGGAATCAAATATAGAACATATATATATTGTTCATTTTTTTCATGATACCGTTTTCTACTAAATATTTAATTAAACTTCATAGATTTCAAAACTTACCATGATGACTGAAGCTGTCATAGTCGACCTTCAGCTCATCCTTGTCAAGGAATTTGTCGGTCCGAGGCGAGCAGTTGCCCTTCATCGAACGGAAGTACTGGCTCCAACGTGTGCGACCCGCATCCTTTTTCAGTCGTTTCTCCTTGGCCCGCCTATAAAAATTTAAAATATTTATAAATTATTTAGAATTTAAAAGGAAATCTCATCGGATTCTAAAATAGAAGCTATTAAATAAAGTTGGCTGTCAAGAAATAAATCAAACTGGAAAAGTTTTAGAGTTTAAAACTAATATGCTCTTAATAACTTATGACAGCTTATTCTAATATTAAAGCAAACTATAATAATATTTATCGTTAAAACATACCTGTTTTGGAACCACACCTGCACCACTCTCATGTCCAGGCCCGTGTCCTGGGAGAGCTGCTCACGTACATGGCGGGCGGGCTTGGGGCTATTGTTGTAGGCGGTTTTCAGGGTCTCCAGCTGCTTGGCGGTAATCGTGGTGCGGGGTCTCTTATTGGGCTGGTCTCCATCCAGCGAGCCATCCAGATAAAGACCTGTGTTACAAAATCCCGATAGAATATAAATCTTACAGAGAAGATGAAAGATATACCCACCCTTGGCCTTGGCCTCCTCGTAGTCGCGCTTGCAGATGAGCTTGCGGTCCTCCATCAGGTAGAACTCGTCGCCGGTGTTGAGGGTGCGGGAGCACATGGCACAAAGGAAGCACTGCAGATGGTAGACGTTGTCCTGGGCCCGACGCACCACCTGCGTGGGCGGTATGCCCATATCACAAGCGGAACACTTTGTACCGTAACGTCTGTTCGACCCAAACATTGGCAAGTGCGGCGCGATATGGAAGTAAGATTTATTATCATTAAACCGGTTTAATGACCTCCATCCACCATCGATCCATCCACTCCATATGGAGGATGCGTTTGAGAAATTTACTTACTTGAAGAAGTCCTCCTTGCAGAAGAGCTGGCCGTTCCGCGCGAAGCACTTGTCGTTCAACTGGCCATGGCATTCGCTGCACTGCAAACATTTCGCATGCCACGTCCTCTCCAGCACCTTCAGGATGAACCTGTCCAGGATCAGCTCGTGACAGCCGCCGCACTTTGGGATTGTAGCTGTCGGGACAAACAAAAGGATAACAAGGTTAATCTTACCATTTAACTTTGATTTTAAAAATTGGACCAGGGGTTTTGGTTGCTATTTTACCCATCTGGTTTCAAATTGGATTTTCCTATTTATTCTATATTTGCTTGCTCAATGTTTCTCGTTACACAACGAATCAAATCAACACAATATTTAATTGAGCTATTTGATCTTAATTTGAGTTTGCTTTTGTCGTCTATTTAAGAAGTGCCTACCATGTATTTTAAAAAATTCAATAACAATTGAAAGCAATCAAATGGGAGTTTGACAGGTGGATTCTTGTAATTTGGGGAAACTTTAAAACAAAAAACCTTTAATTTGCTAAAATTGGAAGTACATTTTTTCCTTATAGATAAGGGAATTATATACATCTCTTATTGATAAAAACTTCCTTCAAGGAAAGTGGTTTTTATAAACAGTTCTACAAACAGTGAAAAGATAGAAAAAATCCCCAAAAAATGTATATTTCTTCCTGTATTCCTGTTTATATGGTATAATTCCTTTATTATTTGATAAACCCCAGAGTAAATACTTTTCATTTCTATATAAGTTATAAAGATGACAGATAGGTGACGATAGATAGATATTTCGCAAAGAAAATAATATTGATATTTTAAAACACTTATAAAATCATAGATTTCCAACACCTTTTCTTTTTGTATAGAATTTCATAAAAATAATAGTTATATTTACACTTGTTATATTTGTTAAATTTGATAAAATCTTATCAATATTTTGGCATTACCAAATTTTATCGGTTTATATAGAAATGGTAACACAAAAAAGTTTAAAAAAGCTGGCCTTGTTTAATGTTCCGACTTTTTCTTGCCATATTTTTTAAAATAGGTTTTATTTAAAAAGTCGTTAGGACCTTTTTATGTTTTAAAATCGATCAAATATATCAGAATGACCTTTCAATATCCTTTCAATCCTGACCACTTACATAGTAAAAACTCTGGCAATTGACTCAAATTAATCGGCGGTACGCGATCATCACATTTGCCATTGGACAGAAAGTCACTTTTGAACATCATCAGTTTCAAAAGTTCCATGCTGTTGAAAGAGGAACTTTCCTAACTTTATTCTTATTTTTTTGGGTTTTGCCAAATTTTTGTGAATAAAATTTTGCTTTTTCAATTCAACTTTTATCACTTTCACTTGTGTCACATTTTGATTTTGTTTGATTTAATCCACATTTTCGTTTGCTTCTCTGATATAAATATTTATTCTTTGATTTATTTTTAATTTTTTGTTAGCTGATATATTGTTGTAATTTTTTTTTTGTTGTTTTTTGGGCTTGTCTAGCGATATCACAGACTTTGGCCCGGAATGACCGGATAACGGATAACCGAGCGGCAACTTCGACGCTTGGAAAGCAACTGACGACTAACGGCACACGATTCGGCGAGGGGGTGGCTCGACTGACATAATCACAGTTGGAACGGTAAACGGTGAACGGTAACCCAACCCTTAACTTGCCGCGACTTCCAATTGGAAAGTTGCTCGGCAGCTCGACTGCACCCTGTGCCGATTTTTGTTGTTGCTGTTCCCCGTTGCTGCTCATATTTTGGTTGTGCCAGTTTTCCAGTCTGGCCTTTTTCTTCATGATTTTCACGATTTCCAAGCTATTCTTTCGCCTTTTTTTTTTTGGATTTTTAACAATTGAGTTTTGGGTTGGCCGCCCAACAACAACGGCGGGGAAATTGCATTGTAACACTTTGCCATTCCATTTTCCAATTGTATCCCTGTGTGTGTGTGTGTTGGGTGGTTGGGGGTTTTTCTTTTGAGTCTAGGTTGTTTTTTTTTTTTGTTGTTGTACTTGTATGTGTTTGTGCCTGGGATTGGTTGTTTTGTGTGCGTCGACGTAGCCTGCAGTTTTTGGGGAGTGGTCTCGCAAAAGCTCTTTTCAACTTGGCTTTTTTCCCTCCCTCTCTTTCGCACCCCTACTCAACAAACGGCTAGCCGATAGAGATGGCTAGAGAGACTCGGTTTTTGTTGGCAAATTTTGGTTGGAGTGTACTAAAAATACACACAAATATGTTTATATTGTTCTGTGCTGCTGCAGTTCGGCAGCTTCTTCTTCTTTTTGCATATACAGCATCCTGCATACACACATACACTAACATACATATATGTTTAAGTGTAAGTGTATTTGTGTACTGTGGCTGCCATTGCTTATTGTTGTGTCATTGTTTCGCAACTGTGAAAATGACCTTAAAGCCGTTAAATTGCTGACTGACTGACTCCGGACGACCGGCTGATCGAGAGCAACGTCTGCGCATCTGTCACCCCTCGCCAGCCAACACCTGACCCCACGGCCGAGGCACCTGACCCTACACTACTTTAAAATGCACCAACACTGCAAGAAAATTATGGAAAAAAGGGAGTAGTTTTGGAGAAAATATGGGAAACATTTTTCTATAAACTTTATTTATCCTTGATCCTTTTAATTTTAAAAAGAATTGGAAACAAAACCATATTATCCTCCATTCGAGAGATTCCCAATTCGCTTCATTGTAAACTTATAAACCTTCCTTTCAAAAATTCCTTTAATATACATATACTCTATTGACCTAATTAATTTGATTAAATATACATTAAACTATTTTCTAAGTGTACCCACACTGAACACACTTTTGACCAGCCCATAAGTGGCGAGGTGAGGCGAGACGTGTGCTTATAAGCTGCCAAGTGGTCGGCGCTCTTGGTCTCTTTGGTTTCGGCCATTTTCCAAAAGCCAAAATGTGCGTACTGCCACTCACACACACACATACACCCACACATCCACGCTTTCACAAACACACACATTCACATTTCGCACTGGCATTCGACAGTCGGAATTTTGGCGCTTTAAGGCTTTTCTTTGTAATTTGACTTGACAGAATGGCTTTTTGGTGTTTTACGTTGAAACTTCGCCTTGTGCTACTGATTTTATTTAAATTGACAGACAGGCCACAATGAAAAATAAAAAAAACATTCAAAGTTAACAAAAAGAAAGATAAAAGGGCTTGTTTTTAAAGTTTATCTATTTAGTGTTTTTTTTGTGGAAATTTTAAAAGTTAACAAGTTTTTAAGGCTAATATCCATAGCTTTTAGTTCATAGAAAACTTTATAGATAATTTTTAAGTACATAAATAGTTACTATGATATAAAAAAGAAATAAATAGTTAATCGCCTTGAACGAAATTCCGCCTTTAAAGTGCAGCGAGTATTTGTAGCCTACTTCTTGGGGCATGTTCATACAATACGATTCGATGGCAATGATGAAACGGCAGCCCGAAAATCGAGGCATACGCTGTTTTGAGAAATGAAAGAAAATCGAGGCGAATTTATAGCCAGAAGCGACATTGTCAGAATCGACAACACAAGTCTCACAATGGGGCCCAAGGCAACAAAAAGAGCCAACAGAAAAGGAAAAAGGCATTTTTTTGAATGGCTGCCGTGGGTAAAATGGCGGCGGCTCCGCAATCGAAGGCAAATTGAGCGATACGCAACCAGACAGGACTTTTATTCGCACATTTCAATGTGTGTGTGGGATGGGGAGTGTATGGGTGGGAGTCTGTATGGCAAGATTGTGTGAGTGTGTCGCTAAGCATTATCTGGGCAGCAGGACAACAGAATGTCAGGGATCCTGGGACCAGAGTGAAGCTTAAATATGTTGGCAACAAGCACAAAAGGCAGCCAAAGCCGGGATTACGTCTCGTAGAATCCAAAAGCAGCTCTTTTCCCCTGTCGCCCGTCAGGATCAGGGCTGGGATATTAAGCATGCAGAGACAGGATGTTCAAAAATTCATATAGTCAAAAAACGTGGCATACTCTCCCGCTTGGAAACTGGACACATTCAAGTGGTCCCAGCTTGTTGCATAATCGCAGTGGAAGAAAATACAACCTGCTCATCATGGTGGGCGGTGGTGGCCGAAAAGGTAATGTTTTGGGGGGTGGATGCTATTCCCGTTGCAGATGATGATACTTTGGGATTTGCGGGAACGCCCATAAAGCAGCTAGCCTGCAGGTCTAAGGGCAGGTCTAAAGCCAAGAGAATAATCTTCAAAGACTTGTGTCGTTTATGTTGGACATTTTTGAAGGTAGATTCAGTCTAGGCATAAATTTAGATTGTTCTAAGTTTTCATAAAGAAACTACAATAGACGACGTCAGGATATAGTTTTTCATAGCCAAACGTAATGAAAAATAAGAGCCACCCTTTCAGAAGTATGCTAAAAATCATGAATAAATAGAAGATTTTAATTCTACCAACAACAAACCATACAAAAAAACTTTCAATCTTTAATAAATTTACTTTTGAAAATTAATTAATAAATTTTAAATAAACCCCTATTTTACTAATACCTTAAAAACCACTCAACTCTTTTTAAAACCAATACCATTTCTTTTTTGTTAATCGCTTAGCAGACATTGTTTTATTTTTGGCCAACGCTGACATATGTTCAGATAATTCCGTAGTAATTAGATTGACAACTTAATTGAGGACCTCCACCCCCGGCGGAGGAGTACATTCGAGTACTCTCACCAATTGCAGTTCGACAACTCCAAATAGCAAATGATCGTAATCAACATGTACGGACTACACAGTCGCCCGTCATTTGGGTCCGCATAACATTCTACATAGTAGTAGCTCCACCTATTCCATTAGACCCCGGTCATAGGCAAACAAAAGACCCATTTAGATAAAGGCTCCGCGCAACTCAAAGTCATAATCATAATAGCGTTCGGAAGCGGGTTGAGGTTGGGCTAGCACTATTTATATGCCCCTCGGATTCCAACCACCCACCCACCCACTCAAACCCACACCCACACCTTTCCGCAAAGTGACCAACTAAAAGTTATTACGCAACGCTCGATGCACTCCGAAAGGGGTAAAAAAAAAAAGGCAAAAAATGGAAAAAAGGACGAACTGAAACGATAGATATCGTCCTGCCAGGAAACACAGACCCAAGTCATAGAGCAAAATGC